CCTTCGCTTTGGGCTCAAATAGTAAGCACATTCTGGTCCAACGTTACGTGGTATAGACACATTGACACCATCGTACGCCCATTCGAACATTTTTGACAGTTCTGTTTCTACGGAGGTAAATATTACAATTTTTTGATCGGGATTTAAAATTGACACTGTTCACAACTATCAATTTAAAAGTTCGTTAACTCTACAACAATTTTATCTCAAACGGTAATGACACATGTTTAATAAATAATAATTTAATATTTGAATTGATAAACTATTTACAAAGAAAGTGAGCAGAGAAGTGCTCTACCACAACTGTGGCTCTGCTCATGCTAGTAGTGAAGGAATTCAACTATTTTTTTAATTTAATTTTACCATCTGAGCAGAGCCATCTGTGACAAACTGTCCAAGTTTATAGTTATGTTTAATACTTAGCTGGTAATGTAGATTTCTATATATGGGTATATTATATTTCTTTATATTTACGCTTAATTTTAACTATTTTTATGTTTAGCCTGTATAAATTTAAGTTGAACTTGCCTTTTTTGGACCAAAAATTAAATATAGGCCCAAACCAACTCCATAAATTCAAATTACGAATGTACTGATTTTAGATTATTTATCAGCTGTCGCATTCGTTTCCCCTCTTGTAAACATATTATTTGTATCAATGAAATATTTCTGAAATAAATATTTATTGTTTATATTAAAGTGTAAATGTATATTTAATAAAATATACGAACTATTACGCCGCTACGCATGCGCCACTATTTGGTATAATTTTTCGTGAAACGTCTGAAGGATTTTCTTCTTCATATGTTTGTGTTTTTATAATTAAAATAAACTTAAATAATTAAAAACTTGGTAGTTGGATTAAAGACATCAGTTTTCGCGAATGACAGTAAGAAACTGAGAGAGAAAGAAAATGGTGTTGAGTGATTGTCCGGATCCAGAAGTAATTGGTTGTGGATTCAGTGCTTTTAAGGAAATTGATGAAGTGACTTCTCTAATTGCGGAACTAAAAGATGTTCACCTTTCGTCAAGTCTAGTTGAGAAAAATCGGGATCGATTTAATTTTATTCTGTCGCAATATCAGGACCAGAGACAATTGTTGGATCCTTATTTGGATGACATTCTGCAGCCATTGATCTCTATTATTAAGGATGAAAATTCCACAGAAAGCATACAACATAATGCTTTCAAATACATTTTCATCGTTATGTCTGTCAAAACGTACAAGAAGATCGTTACATATTTGCCACACGAGGTAAATGAATACATATAACTTTTTTGTATTCTATCATACGCTTCGATCTTCAAGCATACATTTATAATTATAAATTTCACACAGGTAGCAGATCTTCTTCCTGTTCTCCGAATGTTGGAGAAACAAGATCCAAATGATGTGAGCACATGGGAGACTCGATACGTACTTCTAGTTTGGCTTTCTATAATATCAAAAATACCATTTCCACTTTCGCGTCTAGAAACCTCTGATGTTGACTTTGAGCAATCGATAATAGTTAGAATTTTAAAACAATGCAAATTATTTTGCTTGTCAAAAGATGCTTGTGCTGTAGCTGCAGTTTTTTTAATTACTAATTTCTTGACTAGATCGGATGTTAAAAACTTATATTTGAAAGAAATGATAATGTGGTGTTTAGAATGCGTGGAAAACGATTCTTTAAGACATGGTCCTTTAGCAGTTATAGCAGCATTATTGAAACATACAGCAAGGGAAGATGTTAAACCATACACCCAAATAATTTTAGATAAAATTTTACATTTTCATCTAAATAATAATCCTGCCGATCTTATTAGGAAATTTGGGATAAAAATTGTACAAAGAATTGGATTAGTGTTATTAGGAACAAAACTTGCATCATGGAGATATCAAAGAATGAATAGATCCATATGTTTATCGCTTAACGCTAAACATATTAGCACCGTGAACAATTTAGAAAAGATTAGAGATGTTCCAACCAACAATGACGATCAAGATATTCCATCTGCAATAGAGGATATTATTGAACAGCTTATACAAGGTCTTAGAGATAAAGCAATTACGATAAGATGGTCTGCTGCAAAAGGAATTGGAAGAATAACAGCAAGATTACCAATGGATTTAGCAGATGATGTAGTAGGATTTGTACTGAATCTTTTTTGCGGTCGTGAGTCAGATTCTGCTTGGCATGGTGGTTGTTTGGCATTAGCAGAATTAGGAAGACGTGGACTTCTGTTACCTCATCGTTTAAAAGATGTGATACCAGTAGTTCTTCAGGCTTTAGTATTCGACGAGCCGAGAGCATATGGATCAATTGGGTATTTAATTCGAGATGCCGCGTGTTATATTTGTTGGTCATTTCCCAGAGCATATGACCCTGATATTTTTCAACCATATGTACAAGAAATTGCAGCTATGTTGATAGTCGTTGCCTGTTTTGATAGAGAAATTAATTGTAGAAGAGCTGCATCTGCAGCATTTCAAGAAAATGTCGGTAGGCAAGGGAATTTTCCACATGGAATAGAAATATTAACTATTGCTGATTATTTTGAAGTTGGTGTTAGAAATCATGCATATTTAAAAATCAGTGCAGAAATTGCTCGGTATGACGAGTACACAAAGCCTCTCATTGATCATGTGGTTGCAAGAAAAGTCACACACTGGGATACAGCAATCAGAGAACTTTCGGCTAAAACGCTCTTTAATCTAACGCCAGCTGCTCCAAATTACATTAAGGATACAGTTTTATCAAATTTATTAGATATGTTAAATTCTATCGATTTGAATATCAGACACGGTGCTGTAGTAGCAATTGCAGAAATTTTAGAAGCATTGCACAGCAGCTATAACGAAAAAATTGAAAATATAATTGAAGCAACAGCCATAGAAAATATAAGAAATATAGTAAACACTTTTCGGAAAAGAGGGCAGTTCAAAGGACTGGGAGGAGAATTGATGAAACAAGCTTGTGCTGTACTCATAAAAAAATGCTCCATTGTCCATTTGCCAATCTCCACAGAAGTTATTTGTAAGCTAATACTATCCATATGTTATCATTTATATCACAAAAGTTGAAAATATAATAATTAAAAATAAACAAATGTAACTTCTGCAGATGACTGGCAAAATCTTTTAGAAGAATGTTTGGCACACGACGTGTTTGCGGTTAGAACAAAAGCAGCAGAAGCGCACACAGAATTTTTTCTAAAATACTATGCTGATATAGATACCAATTACCGGAAGAGCGTAATTGATCGTTACCTTGATAATTTACAATCGAGTAATCAACTTGTTCGAATAGGTTTTGCACAAGCCATAGGTAACATAAGAATATTCTTATAGCTTAGAATGTTGTAAATTTAATAGGTGCTATTATATACTAATTATCAATTATTTCTGTAGGATATTTTCCTTTATTTATAATTTGTGAAAGGGTAACCGATGTGATAAAAGCTCTCATCAAATGTACCGAAATATCAGAAAATACTCTAAAGTGGGCAGAGAGTAGGAAAGAAGCTATACATGCATTAATAATGGTGTGTGAAACATTGGGAGTGAAAGAAGCAGGTTTGTTTGTTTTTGTAAAAATAAAATGTCATTGAGAACATCAGTTAAATAATTCCTTCCCTAATTTTCAGATAAATGGCAAGAATTTGTGCACAATTTATATGATTGTTATCTGCAGTCGTTGAAAGAATATACAGTAGATAGTCGTGGAGATATAGGAGCATGGGTACGAGAAGCAGCAATGACTGGTTTACATGTGAATATAATTCCTTTATAATAAATATAGTTATTCTTAGCACGCCACTTAAATATTATTCTTGAAATAATTTTAGATGTTAACAAATCTAGTATTTCAAGCAAAATTGGTGTCCATATTAAACGAGGAGTTGATGGCAAATATAATTGGTGGAATTGCACAGCAAGCTGTAGAAAGAATTGACGGAATTCGAGCGCAAGCAGGAACAGTTTTCAGCGCGCTCATTCATAATGATCCTCCGCTACTGAACATTCCATACCTAACTGAATTGAAAAGTATCTTTCCGTATAACGAGTGTAAAGAAAATATAGAATGGCGAATGGAATCCACTACTTTTCCAAGATTTGTTAAAATGTTATCTTATCCTCCTTATACAATGCATCTTCTACGAGGAATTATATTTAGCGTTGGTGGTTTAAGTGAATCTCTGGTAATTATTATTGGTAGAAATAAGAATAATTGAATTCTCTTGTGAATATTTGATTTTTTGTTAAGTTTCCATTTTGGTTGTAGGTTAAACATTCTAGCGTTTCTTTATTTTCTTATTTACAAGAAATAGACGAACTAGGTCTTAAAAATTTATGTTATAAAATTTTGAGCATTTTTGAAGAAAGTCACAAAAATGAAAGAATGATCTCGTCGATCCTGGCATTTCTGGATCGCTTACTTAGTTCTGGCTGTATTCAAATTGTTCTTGACGATTTTAAAAATGGCATTTCAGAAAGAATCTTAATGTTACTTAAACAGGAAATAAAAAATACGAGTAATACCAAGTTGCTAATTATCAGTATAAACGTCTTTTGTCAGCTGCTTCAGGTATTTCCATTACTTTTACTGCTTACATTTTTATATTACTTTGCATAGAACAAAAAAACCATAAAAATCTTATGATAATTATTTTTTTTTTTTTTTTTAGATACGCGGAGTGGTTGCAAAGCGAGCATTTTGTCAGTTGAGTATTTTTCTTTGTCATAAATACAAATGCATACGAAAAGTAGCTGCAACGAAAACATACGAAGCTTTAACTCTATACGGGGAAGAAATGGATATTCCTGAACAGAATTTAGTTAAAATTTTGTTTGAATTAAATGTCACTGATTGGGAAAGATCAGTGTCTGAACTTCGACCAATAAGAAACCAACTTTGTGATTTGATGGGCGTACCTACTCCTATTTTGCAAAACATGGTTGTGAATTGAACTTTGTCTTATATTGTGTTTTACTTTAAAGAAATTGGTAAGTGAAATTTTGAAATACGAAATTTATTTAATTGTAACAAAGTTGTTTGTTAAACAAAGTAGAAAAACATTAATACTTTAATCTTGGTTTTGACTGTACAATTCCATTTTGTCTTTTTCAAATTTTTCTACGCTTATTGTAAGATTATTTTTTAAATGATAAGTTAATAATTTCGCTCCAAATTTTTCTAAAATCCATTGTTTTGTCCACCAATTATGGTAATCAGTCCTAAATGTTATAGGATTTCTAGGTAGCGGACAATCGTAATGTGATGTATCAATAATTTTTTTTTTTCTTTGTTCATTGGCTATTTGTATATTTTCGCAAACGAAACATTCAAATTTGTCTACGTAATTTCCAAATTCATTTCCAATCCATTCTCTATTTCTTTCTAACGTTTTCTTTAATCTTTGATTATCTATTTCATAATTGTCAAACAATTTGTGTGATAAATATTTATCATATTCGGTTTCGTTCGTAGAGAGATCGTGTATAAAATTGGCTAGACTTTCGGGATCTTTAAAATCAAGAATTGAAATTGCAGACATGTTATTTGGAAGCCAGTCCTGAAAGAAATTTTAATGACTACGTTTCGTTAGTTTCTGAGTACATATAAGCAGTACTCGTTGAGATAAGTTTTAATACTTTAAATGTTGGCGATCCATAATACACAGGTACAGATCCAACGATAAGAGGTCTCCATAACTTTTCCGTGATATAATCCTGACAGACTGCATTTTCAAAAGCTAACGTAAATTTATAATTACCAATGAAAGAGAGAAAATCATCACTGTTTAATATGTCGAGGTAATTGTCCTTTAGCCTACATTCAAATTACTTACAAAATTAATACGATAAATGCAATTGGGTTTGTTTTTGAAACAGTAGAATAAGTTCACCTTTTATCGAACTGAGCATTATTCAAACATGTGCCATATGAATCAACGCGTATGTACTTCATTAACTCAGCAACATACACATCTCTATTACTTGCAGTATCACAATCAGATTGTATATAAAGTAATGGTGCAAGATTTTTTGTATGCATTAATTCAGTCTTTTTTTTTGTTGGTATAAAATACTTTTGATCTGAAATATTAATTTCTAAATAATAAAATATGAAGAGATTGGTAGACCAGAAATATTTGTTATTTCTTAACCAATTTATAATTTTTATTGCATCCTCGTATGGAATCCAAATAGAAAATATATAATGGAGAAAAGTGCAATTTCTTAGCAATAATTTTAATATGTTGTATGTACCTAATAATTCTGTAATTCCAGGTAGATAAATCAAAGTAAGAGGTACATCGCTGAATCTGCTAAATGTTGAAGAATATGTAAAAAGATTCAGAGTTTCTTGTTGAACTAAAATGGGGTTATTCCTTGGAGATTCCTCATGAATTAAACCCCATGGAACTCTATCTGATTTCCATTTCGGTAAATCATTAATTTGAAAATTGCTACCGTAAAAAAGAAAACTCTAAAAATTAAAAAAAAACGGAAAATACGACATTTTTAATAATAATTCGATTGCTTTATGTACTATAAAAATATAAACAATTTATTAATGATAAATTTTGTATTAAAATCGATTGACTAATGTTTACTTGATATTTTATTTAATTTTTAAACGTTCTTTGTAATTATTTAAATTTAAATGGTATTGGAAAATGTGTCATTACACTTATCTTAGGATGATACTGAAAAGTTCGATTGCTTGTAAAATAACACGAATAATCTCCACATTTTCTGAGTATTCCATCATTTCCAAATGGTGTCCACCATAAAATCACAGGTACTTCTTCTCCTAAAAAGAGCATTAATAAGAAGTACTTATTAACATTCTTTTCATTCTTATGCATTTATTTTAAAGGAACATTTATAATGTTAAAAATTCCATACATTTCACATACCCAAGTTATGTAGTTTATTGTCAAATTGAATTAAACTCATCTGCAAATTATTATAATCATGTAAATATTTTCACTTTTAAATCAATATTTAGTAGTCACTTTCAACAAATTTATAGTAATAAATAATACTCGCTACGATATATTTTTTACTGAATTTCATCATTTAAATTAAAAAGAATAGTATTCTTTATAAATAATATTTACACATTTATGTATGTATGTAATTATGCAATAAAAATTGTGATATATTGTACTTTGTAATATATACCTGGTAAATTATTATACTTGCAGCAAAGATAATAATTGTTACAAATACAAAATACACTTTTTGATTGAAATACAACATTGTGTAATGTTTTGTTATAAAATCTTATATATTCAAAGATGATACAAATTGTTTAATTTCTTATATAGTAGACTCTAGATGTAATGCTATATAGACTTAAGGAATGTGATATAATTCCATTAATTCGTACCACACTATTCTATGTTACTATTCAAAGGCTACATACAAAATTACTTGCTCGACTAGTGGTACTTTGTATTATTATGTACTGATACAATAAATCATAATGCATTGGCATTCTTTATAATATATTTATGGTATTCTATTTATTATAATTCTATTATGCTCATCTTTATCTCTACTATTAATCTTATGTAACTAGAAATATGTGCATACTATGACATTAGAATCCCTTTTTACAAGTTCAAGTAACATAAGTACATAACCCTTTGGATTACAGTCTCAGAAGAAAGCTGAATAAAACTACATGTACACTTATTTCTCCAATGACTTCATCGTTCTTTATAAGTTGATCAAATGTTTAGTTCGATAAAAAAAAATGTTTAATGCACGAAACAATTTAAATAATAAACAAAAATATTATTTATCCATGCGATTGAAAGTGCTGCTCGTGATACTGTTTCATCGAAACGGTAGAGCTAAGAACTTCTAGATTTCGGAAAAATGGAGGTCGTACCCCGATCGAGATCGCGAATTCGTCTTGTATAATAGGAATTAAATCGCGTGATTTTTTCGTGAGAGAACTAATTTCTAATACACGTTTCTGAGTCCTGGTACTCTGTTTACTTTATAATTTGGAAATTTGAAAAGTGAAAACCAATTTTTATGCAGTAAAATGCAGGAGAGACGGTACTTCTATACTGTATGCTTTTCCCGTTTCAATTTCAAATCTGCGACTCTTTTTAATCTACGAGTAGACAATACGTATTCAAATATTGATTACCATTTTTAAACTATATTTACCAATGATAATCTTTTCAATCTGTTTAATATCACTTGCAGTTAGATGATTGTATTTGCTTAAATTCATTTCATTTTTAAGATCTAATTTCTTTCTTATATCTTGTAATACGCTATCATTTAATAGAATTTTTAGTCTAGTTAGTTTTTATTTTGTAGTTTACTTTGCCGTTGCATAACTTACACAATTTTATGAATCATCGACTCTTTCAGTTTTGACAAGATAGTACATTGGACGCACAACACTTGCAGAACATGAAATCAATGAAAACAAAGGCAAAGGCCAAAAAACATAATGGCAAATTTGGAAGAGATAAATTTCCTCCCAAAGAAGTTACTCCTATTAACCCGGACTTGTCGCAATTGCGCAAACCAATAGACACAAGTGTGTCGACTTTGTATCGTGCAAGCAAGGTTTTAGAAAATGGCAGTGATGAAGTTAGATCTATTTTGGCGTACGAATGCGATTTGGTATATGAGTGTCGCATATGTCGAAGCCTCTTCAGAAGCCTGGTTAACTTCATCTCGCACAAACGGATTTATTGTAAAGAAAAATTTGATGTCACATTTTTTAGAAATTCGCCAAACGATCATGATGCTGTACGTTCCACTTTGTATATTTCAGTGCAAAGGCACTTAAAAATAATCTAATATAATGTCTTCAAAATCAACACATTTATGTAAACAGTGGCACTATAATTCTAGAGCTAGAAAAAAGAACATTTTTCTTGATAATTTTTACATACATATATAATAAAGTCTACATACTTATGTGTAACGTATATGCTTGACTGTATCGTACATTTCTGGCCTATCAGCCTCTTGCTCTATAGTATACAAAAATAGTTTTCACAATAAATGTGTTGATACAGATTTAAATATATTCTTTTTATTATACATACTTTAACTATATTACAGATTCTTGTGAGTAAACCAATTATACCAAAACCAGAGAAAATACACCAAGAAGTTCATGGAAATGATAGGATCTTAAGAAGTCAAGTTCCTAAAGAAGAGGAAAAGAAGGATCTGACTTCTGTTGTTAGTATGTTACAGAAGAAGCAATCAGAAAGTTTATGTGTCAATGTAGAGCAGCCATACTTTGAAAATGTACAATCTAATTCTCCTGCAATTTATCAAACTGTTGAATCAATAATTTCAACTCAAAGTTATTCAGATTTAATGAAGACACAGGTGCAGTTATGAATAGTTAATTCAAAATGAAAGTAACTGATGAGATAATGTCACTATAAATATGTGATTTAATTTAGGTAAAGGAACAAAAAGATATGATAAGCAAACAAACTGCAGTATTAGGCCCAGATGGACAAGTTTTACAATCTAATCAGGAATGCAATGGTAATAACCGTAATAATGGAGAGGGTGATTATACTTCTGAAACTGAAGTTGTTTGTTCTACATGTATGTCATAATTATTTTGAAACATACCTAGAAATAAATACCTTCTATAACAAGCTCAATTACAATAATGTTTTAATTCGCTTCTAATGGTCTATATTTGTTAGGCGGAGCACGATTTTCAACAAAGAAGACATTAGCAGTCCATACGAGAAGAATGCACACATCTCATAAATTATGCTATCTTTGCCCTTGTTGTTCTAATACATTTGCAAATACTTGGAGCGTATATCGACATCTTTTCAAAGGTACTTACGAATTCTACGAATATACGTACCTTACCTACATATCTTAATAAATGTTTACCAATATACATTGCAGTTCACAGAAAGTCTAATAAACAAGTGCGAAAACTCAGATCACAAATTCAAGAGAAAGCATTTATTAAGGATACGGTTCAAGAGGATTTGCAAGCACAACAGAATGCAGAAAAAAGTTTAACAAGTGAAGCGCTTCGAGTTAACGAAACACAGGTACCTTAACTACCATAATAAGTCTGGAGTTCCTACTAAAGTATTGTTAATTCGAAAATATTCTATATGTTAACAGGAATGGATGGATCAGTTAGAATCTGATGCAGCATTACAAAGATGCGGTGGTTGTGGGAAACGATTTGATCGAAAGGCAGCATTATCTGCTCATTCGCAGTACTGCCACAAGCGTGTCGCAGCCTATGAAAGTACAACTAAAATGAAAAAGATCAATAAAATATCGCCAGATCGTGTTATAAGTGAAACCATTATTACTTCCGAATCTTCGAATAATAGCAATAACGATGAAATGTCTATTCGTGTCGAAGCAGTTGGCAGTCTAAGTAAAGCAGACTGGGATTTGTTAGGAAATGATGAATCAGTTGCACAGAGTGAAACCAGTGAAAATGTAACAGTTGTCACGAATGAAAAAGAGGAAAAAACAATAAAATATAATCCTTTTCCTGCGAGCGATGGCTCGGACCCTTTACAAATTGTGTACACTAATATAAATAAACATAAGACTAATGTTGGAAGTAGGAAAAGAAAAAACAAGGACAGTGCGAGGAAGTTAATTACCAATATAGGTGAGATTATTATTTTTATTCCATACAAAGACAAAGAAAAAGCTTCTCTTCCAGGGACCAGTGGTCCCCCAATAGCTCGGGTACCTCGGGATTGCTAAACCCGTACTGTAGCCACAGCCCCTGAGGGTGTAAAGAATATAGTAAATTCGTTATTTTACTGGTTTTACTCGTTTAAAATTCATTACTCAATTATTTATTCTGTAATAAAACATGTACTATGAAGTAACACCTTTTTTCTTTCTAGTTAACGATGCTACATACATACCTGTAGAGGTAGATGTTGAAAAAGAAACAAGAACCGAAAAAGTGGATCATGTACTAGTAATGGAAACAAAAGTGGCTTCTATAGTAAATCTGCAAAAACTGCAGTGCCTTTTATGTAAACAAAAATTCACTTCGGTGACTAATTTAAAAAGACACGCTGCCATTCACATAGGTTGGAATCGTTATCAGTGTAAACTTTGTGATTTCAAATGCTTCGTTAAGTGCGACTGTGTCGCGCATTGTAATAAAGTCCACAACGCCCAGAATAATCGTATTACTATAGAAGAGATGATAACGCAGATTCCAGATAATCAATATATACGTGAACAAGATATTACATTAGACGTAAATAACATAGAAAATGAGTTTCATACTCCCAAAGCTGTGGAAATTAGTATCTCTCCAAGGTATGTCGAACCAGAAGTTCAACTGCAAGAAAAAGCAGTAAATGAAATAGAAGCAGAAGTAGAAGATGAAACAAAAGTAAAAGGAAAAAGTGAAGCGGAAGGAGAATCAAAAGTAGAAGGTGAAGTTGAAGCAGAAGAAGCAAAAGTAGAAGATAAAGTTGATGCGGAAGAAGAAGAAAAAGTAGAAGGTGAAATTGAAGCAGAAGAAGAAGCAAAAGTAGAAAGTGAAGTAGTAGATAAAAATTTAGTTACATTTCAAGAAATAGTTGATTTACATGTAGAAGATGAAAATATTTTCAACAATGGTACTCAAGGACAGAATACTCTGGGATTGGATCCTGAGCTTAGAAAAATGGTGATGGAAGTTATTTTTGGATCTTCTGAAACAAATTCCACAAAAGAAGAAGTAAAAGAAACACCTGAAAAGTCCAATTTGAAATTACAAAATACGGAGGAGATTGAAACACAATCTAAAAGCTCTGATTCGAGGGAAAGTAGCGATGTTACATGCTCGCAGGACAATTCAAAACCCCAACGTCCTATTCGCAATAAGATAAAACCTATGAATAAAGATTTTATTTATGATTTAAATGGAGTAGTGTTTAGAAAGGATGGTTTAATTATGAGGCCCTTGAATAAACCACTTATGAAAAAACCTCTGCTTCAAGAGGAAGATAATTTAGAGGACACGGAACAAACGTCCAAACGTTTTAAGAATGATGAGATGCCAATTCTTTGCGAAAACAGTGTTACAGACAAATGCGACATAAAATTTACCAGAGAACGTTTAAAGAGTAATGTTACCTTTTCCCAGTGTCATAGGTAGTTAAAAGTGTATCATACATAATTCAATGAATTGATCGTGAAAATATGGACTTTTAGTAACTAGTAATTGTTTAAAATAATTACGTATATGTATTGTAATATATATATAATTATCATTTATTGTTATTAACAAGGTTTTGGATATTGCTGAATATTAATGAATGATCCTTCAAAAATAAATATCGATCTGCTTTGGACGATTCATTCTATTATATTAATGTTATACATGCATACCCCGTTTTATGTCGGTTCGCACTTGCACCATTTTTCAATTATATATTATCGTTCGTTTTTATGATTCGTAATCCGTACTTCTTGTTATACATGAATAAAAATAAATGTTATAATTTCTTTACATTTTCATATATTCTTTTTTATCTTAAGAATCGATTACGAAAAATCTATGCGAAATATAAAAGTGTAATTGTAATTGTTGACATTCGAAGTTTTAAAGACACATGAAATCCGATGTCATCTAGTCATTTCCGAAAATGTCAGCGTTTGTAACAACAACATTAGTTATAATTAAAGTTTTTGTTAACTGTTGGCAAGGCAGCGTTTTATTAGCGCGCTACTAATCCTTGGAATTTTGTTTTACCCCCGTTTTCCCTTCTGGTTTTAATCTAAAAGTCTATAGAGCATGAGAACTCGGGGAAGAATGAAGGCACCGTTTTGAAGTAGTAAGTATGGTCTTTATTCTTAAAGTCGAAGAGTAGTTATAAACAGTTGATTTAACGAATATTAATAAAAGTTTAACGATTGATTGTTAAACGGTTAATCGTACCAAAGCTTAGTTAATTAAATTTGTTACGATAGGAAACTGTATCATATATATTTATCAAGTAAAACCTACAGTACTAAAATAAAAATCGACCTATTATTACAATATGTAATTCAGTTACATACACAGAATATGTTACAAAATGTACAAAAATCACTTAGCACTTTGAATATTCTTGAAATGGGATGATTATTTATTAATAAATTTGTCTGGCCTCACACTTCAATGCGAAAGGAAAAGGAAAGTCATCTTTGATCTTGATCTGATTTCAATCTAATTACTTTATACATCGTACTTGTTCTTCCTAATCTTTGACTATGCTATAATTTTTGTATTTTTCAACTTTGTATAACATTTAGTTATAAATTTAAGTCTAATCATAGAATTCACTTAATCTTCGCTTCAACTAAGATGTATTTCAACTATTTTGGTTGGTCAAAGCTGTCGAGAAGTAACTCAACCAAAGAAAAAAAAAAGTACGTAAATTTTTATTTCCTGTGGTAGTTCCTACTTTGCTCTGTGTTTGGTCTACCCAGTGTTCGTTATAAAATCAAGTAAAATAGGACGGATTTAGTCAATGGGAAATTGAATATAACATAACCAACCAAAATAGTCGAAAAGGAATAGTATCACAGTCATTATTTAGAATAAAAAGATATTTACTTATCCTAGGTATGAATCATAACTGTACCAAATTAAAAAATTTAATTATAATGGTCTTAGTAAACTAAATATGTGAGATTGATTCTAAGAAATTTTAGAAAGTTTATTCACCGACGCAATGTAAAATTTGTACTCTGAAATAATGTGTAATACGACTCTTCTTACGGTCAATTTTATGAATACAGGTTTATACAAAAATACAAGATAATTAAAGGATAGATGGATTGTATTAAAAGTAAATTTTATTCAGTTAATAAATTACACTTACCTAAAGACGAAGCTGGGTCCGTCTATCCTTAAATTATCCTATAACACTGTTTCTGTGATGTGTACAAATTCGTATGAACAAAATTTTAGCTACAATCTTTACAATGGCAGAGTTTATGAGAAGATTTTTCCAAAACAAACGTTCTCTCGAAACAACTCTCCTAAAATTCCCCGAAATGGTTCATTGAATAAGAAAACGCACATGTAGAGCAGACATTATGATACAACTTAGTTCATCCATGTTGATTGAGTTGGTAAACAGAGGGGACTAGGAGAGTAAAGTGTGTCCTATTGAGGTGGTCCACCCATTATTCCCATTGGTGGCATACCTTGGATCCCGTAAGGACCTTGCGAAGGGCCTTGATTTCCAGCCATAGGGGAATGCAATTGCATTGCAGGACTTTGAATTTGCTGCGTTGGTGTTACCTGTCCTCCAGCTGGTGATGGAACTACCTATAGATACCATTTTCCATGCACATTTGTTGCGTTGCATATATGTTGCAAATATATTATTTACATAAATATCCACTTACTTGAGACATAACTGGTGGCTCTGATGGAAGAGTCAAATTAGCTAACAAGTCCCTAACAGCAGGAAAAAGAGAACATTCGGATTGATTTGCACCGTATTCAGCAAATCTCTTTAATTGAAGGGATGCAGCAGCCATTGCAGAAGCTGGACTAGGATCTCGTTTCTCGGCCAACTGTGTTACGTTCGTGCTAACATCGTAAACTAACGGTAAAACCAGAGAAGGTGTCTCTCCCTGGTACGGTAATCCAATCCTTGTTATTTGTAACTAACAAATAACGAGTTTAAGTGGTTAAACTACAGTATACGAAGATTGAGATCATAATAAGCATTACTAAATATACTTACAAAGAAAAGGATTTTATTCCTGCAAACAAGCACGGCTGCCATACCAGTCGGTACAATTGGAGTACCAGAAGGAGGAATCCTTAAACACCATTGCACGTTCCATTTAAGTTGCTGCTGTTGTACTAATCCAGGTACTAATTCCAATTTCATAATTTGTACAAAATCTTTTAGAACGTTAAATGGTACATTCAACATTCTACCAAAGCCAGAAAGTGTGTTTGGTTTATATGGTGGAGCTGCTGCTCTTGTGTCAAAAAATTTCTCTATAATCTATAAAAAAAAAAAAAAATTAGGGAAAAGAAATTTAAAAAATAACAAGATTAAAATACAGATTATGAATCATACTTGTAACTCTTCTAGTGTCCATTGATCTTTATGCTCTGGAAGAGGTTGTACTTTTATATGAAGGGATTGCAAATGTTGTGGATTCAAACCAACTCGGCATTGCAGGCTTTCCACCTTGAACTGTACAATTCCTGGTTCGGTGCTGTTGATTGCAGTTAACTGTAAAAATTGTTTATAATAATAGCAATGAATATTTTCATTTACATATAAATAAATATAAATAAATTGAAATTAGAATTCGTACACAATCATCGGTTTGTATGAATCGTTGGAACTGTCTTCGCATGTAAATACATCCTAAGAATCTTTCTAGTGGAGAAAGATCTGGCCCAGGAAGGCCAGAAGGGTGTGGCGAAGGACAACAAAGTAGTTCTAAAGCTTCATGAGTAAGTAGAGTAGGTACAGCGCCAGCCCATGAACGTTGTGGAAGTACTCTCGAAATATGTGTTCCTGCTTTATGATCAGAAGCTTGAGGGCTATGTAGAGCAGCATGCCCTGGACTCTGCGCAGGACGTGCAGGAGATGGCCTAGGTACATTGGGCGATCCCGGCCAATTTGATGCTGCTGGTGATGCCATACTCTGTGTAGATGGGAAAGGACTTCCGTCTATGTGTCCTAAATAAATAACTAAATTAGTACGAAAATACCAAATGAATTGCATATTTACATATATTTATTTGATACTTACCAGTTTGCATAAAAGATCCTGCAGGTGAGTGACCAACTTGAACGCTACTACAAGGTCCAGGCGATGATGTAGGCATCAAGCCAGCTGGACTAGGAACATGCATTGGATTCAGAGGACTATTGGCAACCAATCCAGAACCCGGCGAAGGATGTGGCAGCATATTAGGTGTGTTAGGTGGAAGAGATGGTGGCGAAGCCAAATTGAAAGACGTGGCTGGGCTACTTCCAAAACTCTGGTGTTGATTTGTCTAAAAATTGTATAGACACGAAATCATAACAATGTGTTTCAGAAATTAATATTCGATGTGAATTACGTAAATACGTATATAGTCCTAAATGATGAATATAAGATGCTACCTGTGATATATTAGTAGTGTGAGGGCTGGCTGGTGTGTGAGGATTACTACCAGAAGGTGGAGTAAGTGGCGGATGAAATCTTAAACCATCTCGTTGTTGTGCAGGTGATTGCGGTCCACTTCTATGGTGGCTCAGGAAACCTACATTCCCACTTCCACTACCACCATCGCTATCCATTGTTACAGGAGATGGGGGATTGTCATCCTCCGACTGAGATCTTCTACGAAATACTGCACTTTCGTCCACATATTTCGATAAAAATGCCTATGCAATAATATAAATGCATACATGAATTATAGAAAATAAAATATGCATAATTCTTTTTTATTTTACAACAAATAGAAATTTCTATAATTTTCACCTTGAGGCCTTGTGTTGGGGTAAATTCGTCTACAACGTAACTCCTATCAAAACGACTGTATGCTCCGTCTCTTAGGCTCACCAATCCGCCACCTCGTAAACGCAATTCCAAACAGTACATACCCTGATATGCAATTCTAACCAAAGTTACGCACTGTGGCATAATGGTAAAGGTTTGTACTGGTACTTGAGGTCGCTGTAATAAAGTAAAATATAAATATAATATAAAATCTCACAAAGTTATAGATTTATCGATTGAAAATGAGTGTTGAGAAACCAATTAAATTTAAAGTCATACCGAATTGTAAACGCAAAGCTGTGGGATAGTGGGTAATTTACTGATCGATGTAAGAGGTTGAAGCGTTTCGTGAAGAATGTGTGCAAGCTGTGCTAAATTTCTATGCCTATTCAAATGAGCCTCAAGTTGTTCCTTCATAATCGAATGAGCGTTAGTTATAGTGCTCGTTGGACCTGTGTATTCACAAAAATATATTTCTAACTTATTGCAAAAGTAGTTCATTAATAACGTACTTATAAAACGATACTTACTTTTCCCAAATATTAACTTAAATGTTTTGTCGTTTGTATTCCATTGTACAGTAACAGTGGCTCCGCGGTTGGGACCATAGGCTAAGACTAATTTACTATAGTTGTATGATTTTATACTAATCATATTGCGTAAACTGTACTTCTCTGAGTTATACAAATAAAAAAAAAAAAAATGAAGTAAATCGTTATTACTTTATATATTGTTGACATAAACATATATTTTCAATGAAGTTATAAAACTTACCCATCTTAAAATATTCTGCTAAATCATGTACTATAGAATAGAGATGTACAATCTGTGCCCAATCATTTAGCAACGCATCTACTGTGCGCGATACAGTATCTGCTGTTCCCATTTCGTATTGGAAATATACAGGTCTACGTAGCCCTAATATAAGTCATGCAAGTAATTTACATTTAAACCACTGAAATAAATTAAACGAATAAATTTTAAAAATTGTTCGATGATATTACCTTGTTCCTTTGGATGACTACTAGACAGAGGGCTACCATAAAACACAAACTCAGCCATCCATGTTTTGGCCATACCTTTACCTTGTACTCTGATTGAAACGCTGAGCAATCTTTTAAGAAGTGCATGCCACGCACAGTCGAAACTTATCGCAGTAGAAGGAGCAGGTAATTGAACTAATTTTAAAACCAATGCAGTAGCATTTGCTTCGACTTGAAGTCCTTGGTGAGCTATGTCTCTCCTAGTCAATTCTTGTGCTAGCGTTACAAAAGGTATTCTTTCATCGCAAAGAGCAACAACGTGTGCTAGCTCCGGAATAAAGTATGCAGGCTGCTTCGATCTTCTGTTTTGTAATGTAGCACTGGCGTCAGTCCTTCCGCTAGGTCCAGTACTTCTGCGTTTAATACTGCTGGTTTCGGTAGATTCTGTGAGATATTGACTAAAGTTTCTCATTTTGTCCATTATGTAAAATAAAATGGTAATACAACAGTTTAATATAATTATAACACGTAAAATAAACTGACCACTATCAACGCTGGTGAAAGGGCCATGGGTTATCACGAAAGTATCAAATTCAATTAGACTTTGAACCTTTAAATACATCTTTGGAATCTCTGTTTCGATACTATCATCCTGAAGATCATCTTCAACTGAACTGTGCTTTACCACAGCAAGATGAAACGAGCATTCAATCTCGCACAGTGAAGTTTCTTTTTCTTTGAATGCCACTATCAAGATCACTGTAGGATGCCGATGAAGTTGAACAAACATGCGATGTCTACTAATTTTAGCCATTGGATGATCAGGATGATGGAGGACTGGCAAACGCTCGTGAGAAGTTGCTGGAAGATGTTGCAATGTTTTCTCGCATCTCCTTTGTGTTATCCAAAATCTGCAGTGTATAATAAAGTAAAGCAATATATGAAGAAACGATAAAAGGGAAGAGTATATGATAAAGTTAAGTTAAATCGAAGAAAGACTCACCTGAGCTCTGATATCAAAGTAGGAAGACGAGAGTGGTCACCATTTAAGGCAGCTGTTAATTCAGGAACTAAAGGCGCCTTGTACTGAGGTACATGACATTGTAACATTCCTGTATGAGTATCGACAGTAACCAAAAGATGCTCTGCTCTTAAACAAGGTTGCAAAATTGGAACAGAAAGAATTGCAGGTGATCCAGCTAAAGTACATTCGACATCTTTCAACATTGTCTGTAACTCTTGTTTCAAATCTAATAGCCTACTTCTAGTGCGTACATAAATTGTATGCACCAACAAACATTCCATCGATAACTGGTCAGATCTAATTGCCCTGTCCGCTATCTCGCTTTCTTTATTACCTAAAGATGGAACATGTACAATTGCAAGAGATCTAGCTGGATCATGTTGATCAACCTGTACTGTAAGCTTGTATCCCAATTCTGATCGAGGATCTTTATTAGTTAGCTCTCTCCAATATGACACGGAAAGACATTTTCCGGGAGTATATTCGTCTACGTGAATGTGATCGTCCAACCTGTCTCGTATTAATCTCAGTGTTTGGGAATAAAGTACTTCCAACTGAAGCGATTGGCAGAAATAATGCAAAATGTGATAAACTTCTGATAATGGATTTGAACTGTCCGCCAATCTTGATTGTACTACCTTGAAATTAAAATTATTCGTTTCAACAGTAAATAACAGAGGAAAGCCATTTAACGACATAGTAATTTAGGAAAACAGTAATACTTGATGCACATAGCGTGTTTGCAGTGGATGGACTAAAGCTTTCCCATCTCCTGTTTCTCTGTCTGAAACCAAAATTTCCAATTCTAGTAATCTCCAGGGCACAGTTGGACCATCTCCCATAACTGTAAGCGATACTGAAAATTCTTGCTCCACAAGGAATGTTACTCTTCCTGCTTCAATTTTCAAGTTACGCATTTGTGGAAGCAAATTTCCAGTTACTAATCTATGTTGAATAACTTGATTTAGTCTCTGAAGTGTACTTCTTTTTTCTGCAGGTGTGATTGGATCTGGAGGAACAATTCTTTCCTAATAAAAAAAAAATTGTACAAGTTCTGTTAACGTTAATTAAAAAATTGTTGTTGATATAATAATAAATATTGATAAACTCAAATTACTCTTATGCACGCCGGTAGACGACTATACGTTCCAGTTGTCAAAACTTCTACAGCAGCAGGAATATGGAAATTAGGTAACCTGGCATGTACTAATGTTTCTCGAGCCATTCGTGCAAGCATATCAGCTGTATCGACAAAAAGCAATGACTGCTTATCCAAGAAAGCCATTATATGCTGTCAATGAAACTTCTTTTTAGTCATTCAATAATGTAACAATCATATAAAAGTACTGGGGCAATATGAATGTAAATAAAATAATATTAATTTTCAAAGTACCGCAGATTTGTCAACTTTGGAAGCACTGTTAGCCCATTTAACCAATGCTAGTAATCGTACATATAATTGCCTAGTTCTAGCTGAGAAGTTGTATATCTCTATTTTACGTTCCATGTCAGTTTTTCTAGGCAATCTGTAAACATATACATATATTACATTTTCAATCATCAATTTATATTATACATTATAATATACATTGATTTTAACAGTGCAGCAGTATGTTAATAATATAAATCTACTTACAATTCAGCTAAAACTGTAAGTTCATGATAAGTTCGTTGTATGATAAAATCAATAAGCATCCCAAGGGAAATAGAACCGCCACGATTCCCTTCTTGTGGAATATTGTTGGTAACCGGAGTTTGATGATCTTCCAAAGGGACTGGAGCCATTTTGTGCTTTACTTTAACTAATTAATCTAAAACTTACCAATTATTCATTATTAAAATAATAATTAAGACTGGAGTATTCATTAATATTCATAATGTTATATTTTTATACAGTAAATAAAAATATTACATGGTTATTCTGTTTATGTTATTTTTTAACTGACTAACATTAATTGCAATATATATATGCAGGTACATATGCAAGGTCGTAAACTGAACATTTGTAAACATGTAAATAACATAAAAATGAATTACTCATTTTTACAGCAATAAACTATCAACAATGAAAGTACATCAAAGTTTAATAATAATAACAAGAAAGAAATATAATGTTAAATAAGTGTTATCTTACCCCTAACATTTATTATTCCACATCGAACATTAAACAATTAGATACTAAGCAATAATATAATAAGTGCAAGCACCAGCAAGTGCCAGCAAGCACGAATCTCTTCCAAATTGATCATGAACTCTGAAATGATCTGAAAAGATAAACTTGCTATCGTTTTCTGTCTTTATTATTCTTGAATATAGCTGAAAGTGTACGATGGAAAAAATCATACCGTCTTTGGGGAAGTTCACTAGCTAGGGACAACTAGGGACCTCCTACCCCTTCTCCTCTACAAAGAAATGCTGCGAATTTTGAATTTTTGAATCACTATGAAATAATGCTTTGATTATAGTGAAGTTAGTTAGAGAAATGATGTATGTAATAAAATCTAAGATAATTTAATTAAATAAAAATGCCAGTTATCGAAAAAATCAATCGTTTACTATAGTTGATATCTTCATAGCTATTTAATATAGCCTTTACATAATTAAGTTAACAAATTAACAGACACAGGTAATTACAATTTGTTTCAGTCATTGAATTCATACATTAATATATAAAATAATCAAATAAATTCAATTTTAAAATTATAACAACAAAGTATTAGTTAATCGCTTAGTTAAACACTGACTTCAATTGTTAACATTTGTTTCGAACAAAGTAAGTTTTACGTTTCAAAATAATTATCACACAATTAATTATGTTTTTAATAACTTATTTGTTCTTGACCCGTAAATGGCGTTGTAGGGTGTTTTCTACTAATGTTTTCTACTAATACGGTAATCCGTTTTACAACGAAAAACTTGGATCTGCCAGGCGTCAACTGAAGAAGAAACTCCAGAAGTTGAGGAACTCGCCCTAAAACAAGATCTCGTTCCAACTATTTCTGGTCATAGTTTATTCGAATCGTTTCCGAAAAATCAATCAGAATAAGATCGTATATGGATTTACTTTTCTCACGAAAGTTTCACCAACCTATTGATAATACTGTCATGAAGGAACAATGAAAAATATACAAGTTTTTAGTTTAGATCGGTAGCTGTAACACAAACGAGTGCGCAGCACCAGCTTCCAGGTTCAATTAGCCAGTTTTCAAGTCGTCGGGTTTCTTGCGCTGAAGAAAAAAAACGTAGGGTGGAGTTCCTTTCGGCTTTGCAATGGAAAAAAAGCTTTAATTGGCAAGCGAAAGATGACTGTACTTAGAGAATTTTAAATATTAGTCATTCTTTATCGTTCCAAATTAAAATAGATTAAATTTTCAAGTACCTTTTATATTGGCGTTACTTTTAACCCCAAAACACCATTTATGTATACATTTATATATAAAGTCGCAACATCATTTGAGGGTTAAAATACTATAACGCAATTTTTTGTGCTTTTAGTAAAAAATTCCACCCTTAATAAATAAACAAAACTATTATTATGCAGCTTCATCCGAATAATTATATCACGATTTTGGCAAATCAAGTTTCCTACAAAATATCACATAAAAAATAAATAACTCCAATTATTTATTATTTGAAACCTATTAGTTAACCTTATAATTTTTACTTAATTACGTGTGCAATTCATTTATCAAAAATGATATTCTTCTGTAGTAATTTTAACCCTAATTAAGTCCAGGTCCATGCAGTTCAATAAAGCTCTCCAAAGAACGTGGTACTCGTTCGCAATAAGACAAATTGTAAGTTTTTACAGCTCTTGCAGCTATACATTTCAATGACAATTTTGTTTGAGTCCGTAGTATTGATTCTACCTCACCTACATATACAAAAAACAACACAGATTAATAATGTTTGCTTTAATTAATAATATAAAACGTTCAACAGCTAAAGTAGTTTTAGAACTTGAATATAAATATTGTACCTGTTATGGCAGCATAGTACGGAGTCTGACCTCTACTATTTATAGTGTCCATATGTGCTCCAGCTTCTATAAGTTCCATGATAATTGTATACAGAGTTTCGAAATCACTGTAAATATTTGAATGTATAATTGTATAACTTATTAAACAGTGTCGTTGTAGTTTTTCTTAAAAATACAAAAATGTAACTAATACGAGCAAACAGATTATTATCAAATTGTACCTAATTGTTTTTATACAACCAACAATTACATGTAATGGTGTATTTCTTTCATTATCCATGGCATTTACATCAGCTCCACACCGCACAAGTAGTTTTGCTGTTGCGGCACAAGGAAATCTGTAAAAGAATTATTTAAAAAATTATATTGTTAAAAAGTATGAAAGTAAAAATTTGATATACAAACTGACTTGCAGACAACCGAATCCTTGACAGGAGTCTCATTTACAGCAAGATGTAGTAATGTTTGTCCGTCTTCCAAATTTAATTGTAAGACACAGAGTTTATGAACTAGACAATGTGCTTTATCTTTATCCCGTTCTGCGTATCTACTTCCATCCATCGTTAAAAGTTTTGTTAATATTTGTAATATATACAGTGTACTTTTAATGTTTGATTCCATTTCTCTCTGTATTTTACAATGTAAAAATAAATCATTAAATAATTATGAATTTGATCGATTATTTAATAACAAAAATAAAATTTCTATTAAAACTCACAATATATTCTACATCTTCTTCAGAAACAGGATAATTAATTTTAGATTTATTACGACTAAGTTCGGTTACAAAAGCCTCTAAAACACTTAAAACCTGAGAAAAATCGATATCCACTCCAGCATGTATCATTTGTGAAAATACCTATGAACGACATTTAAATAAAAAATAAGTAACAATGAAAAACAAATAATAAGTTAAAGATTCTTTAAAAATATTGTTTAATTTGTAAGTATTAGAAAACGATACCCTTGCAAACCTAAGGAGATCTTTAACAACTGTTACATTATTTAATTGTTTTAAATACAGAGCATGAAGCCACAAATCTATACATCTGTCGTGCTTTCCTTGGTCTCCGAATACTGCTCCTCTGAATATTATTTGATTTGGTACTCTTGGATTATGCGGCCCTAAAGTCAAACATTGTAAAATCAAAAACTATACTATTTTCTGTACTTTCTCGCTACCACTTATAAAAATAGGCTACAAACCTAGGATTCTCTCCCTAATAGCCAATGATTCCATATGAAAAGCATTTTGATTATTCATAACACTTTTCAGATTTTCTAATGTTTCGCATTCTCTCCAGTTATCGTATGCCTTCACTGGTTCACCTAATTTTTTATAGATAATGTTTTTAGGATCACTAAACCTGTAGCATCCAGAAAATTATTCAGTTGACTCTCCAAACGAAAAATTAGTTTTTATTTTATGATGCAATATTCAAGGTGGATCATATAAATGGTAGTACCTGAACATTTGTTAGTAATAGGTATATGAAAATCTATTTAAGATTAAATAAAATCATCTAGGGTAAATATTGTAACAAGACCAAATTTTCATTGCAATCTATTCTTTTAAAATTTCAAGATGATCAATATTTTATTTAACAGAATAGTATTTTCGGTATTAGTCTCATTGCTATTTATAAATATCAAGAATATATAGATATTCTCATTTAAAAAGATTAATTCTGTATACACACCTAAGTTCCATTGCTTTCCAGAAATATTTATATGCTTCTACTAAAGAATCATTGCTTACATAGACACTACTACCATAAGAAGCGCCAAGAAGTTCGTATGCCTCAATTGTTTCTTCTTTAGATACTTCTGCTTTTCGTATAAACCATTCAACAACGTCGGCTCTCATACGTTCTGCTGCTACTATTAGTGGTGTCATTCCTCTAGCATCTACTGACATTCTTGCCCCGTATACCAATAATTGAGCTACTATAATAGTATGTCCAGATTCAGCAGCTAAGTGTAATGCTGTAGCACCGCAATCTGCCTTCTCATTTGGATCTGCACCTTTTTTTAACAGATATCTCACCTGTTATGATATAAAATAAAATTAAATGTGCTTAGATTAATTACATCATTTTAACAATTCAGATTATTAAAATCATAACGATACTTACTACTTCTGCATGACCTTTAAGTGCAGCAATCATTAGACACGTATTATCCACATGATTCGAAATATTTATATTTGCATTATGTTCTGCTAAATATTTAACTATATCTAACCGTCCATCTGAACAAGCTGTTGTCAATGGCGTAGACTGACTTCCAGTCGGATGGTTGACATCTGCACCCGCTTTTACTAAACTTTTAACAACTGGTAAGTGTCCTGCGGCAGCAGCACACCAAAGAGCACTTGCCTTTTCAACAACACATCCGTCAAATTTAACTGTTCCCTCTTGTTCTAAGTCGGGCTTGAACTTATCAAGCAATATTTTAACTACTTTGTCATGGCCATTTCGTGCAGCTGTTATTAAAAGTGTACATTGTTGCCCATCTTCCTCGTATACTCTTTGATTAATCAGCTCATTAACTTGTTCGATGGGTTTATTACTGAGAAGATCATAAAGTGCGATAGCCATACCATCTTTGGCAGCATAATAAACTCGTGTTATTAGTGACTCTGACAATTCTACTACATCGTCCTCGTTCGAACTGACAGTTTCCATTTCGTTAAATGTTCTTCGAGTACAACAAACGTCGTATAAAAACACTTTTACCGTCAGCTTTCTTCCTCGATGAAATTTCACAATGTTACTCTAACCAAAAATTCTCCATCCTACACTTCGTATTTCGGACAAAGTTCTAAAACTTATTTTGAGACCGTACAAAAACATTGATATTCCTGCATAAAAATAACATTTAACCTCATTTACTCTTGTTTTGCGAGTGTTGTTACAATCCAAATCGATCGAGCTATTTAAAGTTATTTTTGTAGATGATCGGTATAGTTATTTTCTGTTGCGCTGTCGCAAACGTACCTTAAAGAACACGTGATAACAACATTTATATAAGAGCGAAATTCAAAAAGCAGAAAATATTCGAATATTTCAATTTTCAGTGAGAAATAGGAGATCTAAGTCAAATGAATTTTTGCTGTTTAGACTATTGGTACATTAACCACAAAAATGACGCAATATAGCAGAGCTCTGTACACTTTTTCTCTACACTTTAGTATAAACAATATAAAATTACAACGCACATGTGACGTAGTAACTGTTTTGCATTGTTTACACACAATGCTCAACTATGCTGTGTCATTCTGCGTTTTATTTAGGCTTAGCATTAAAGGAGAAGTTGCCAATTCTGGGTGCTTCTTTTCTCTTTTAGCTTAGTGTTAGAGGAACGTGAAAAATCATTGTCATGTTCAAAATGTATAATTATAACATGATACGCATAAGTTAGGTATTTAAAAAGGTTAACAGCGCGCTGTCATGCGAATAGCGGTATTCTGCGCATTTATCTGTATCTAGTTAACTTCCCCGTAAACGGCAAGAATCTTTGTAACCAGTGATGGACATTCAGAGATTTTTCCTGATCATGCGCATTGGACCGAGCGTTGCACTGCTTCCTCACTGCTGTATACACTTACTTAGAATTTAGGGTACCATTAGATCCCAGTAAGGAACAAAATACAGGGTGTCCCAAAAATGTTGTAACACCTTGAAAGAGGTTGTTCGGAAGGTGATTTAAAACAACTTTTTCCTTAGCAAAAATGTTGTCCGAGGCTTCGATGAGGAGATATTAACGGAAAGCACTGACCAATCAGCGGGCGCTCCATTGGCATACTCGCACTCTGATTGGTCAGTGTTTTCCGTTAATATCTCTTCAACGAAGTGTCGGACAACATTTTTGCTAAGGAAAAAGTTGTTTCAAATCACCTCCCGAACCATCTCTTTTAAGGTGTTACAACATTTTTGGGACATCCTGTATAATCTCCTCTTCTTTTCCTTTATGATTCCTGACGTGTACGGCTGTGGTTCATTATCCATTTTCTTTTTAATTTTCCCTAATATTACACTCACGAACACTAACACTCTTGTACTTAATTTGTCCGTTAAAAACGCGGGGAAAATTGCACAGGCCCCTTAAATGCACCTCCTTTGGCGGTTCGGATACATGTATGGTGACAGACGACATGTAGCTGTGACGTTAGCTTACGCATGCGCAGAAAGGAATATCTCGAATGAAAAATCCCACGAATGTCCATCACTGATGCAGATCATTGTTCATTGATGATCATTCATTTTTGCCATTCAGTACTTTAGTACTTAGCATAGGAGCATGTAGGAGAAAGTCATCAGCTCTGATCAGCTCCAGCATCAACCAAAACTGACCAAAAGGCTGACTTGAAAAAGACGAGGTCATTGGTTGGTATCAAAGTTGATGACTTTCTCCTAAAGGACAAGAATTAATCCATAACCTCAATATACCTCGGCATGTTTGTAACTCAACCGTTACTTGCATGTAAACATACTCTGTGATTTCCCTATTCTTTAAAAACACAAATCCACATAACATTAATTTTCTTATTAAATTAGTTTCCATAAACAAGTGGAATTTCAACATATTACAACCAATTACAACTATGATTGGAAGTGTCATCGTCCTCACGCCGAACGGTCGACGACAAAACGTCAAAGTTACACCAAACACTACGATATTACAAGTAAGATTTTGCGTGCATGCTAACGATTATACGAACGTAGTTATAATTATTACAATTTTCTTACGTCAAGTCCAAAATGTTACACGTAGGTTCTAGAAGATGTCTGCAAAAAACATGATTTCAATGCAGATGATTATGATGTCAAGTATGTATATTCTAAAAAATAAATAAATGTAAGATACAAAACTACATACAACAAATTTTTAATATTTCATCTGTCTTCTAGACACTTCAACCGTGTGTTGGATCCTAATACGATATTACGGTTTACTGGACTACCGAACAATGCACAATTAGAAATGATACCTTGTACAAAAACACGTTCCATATCGACTGTTACAATAGGTGTGCAATTAGAAAATGGAGAACGATTAATGGGTGATTTTGAACCTAATACAACATTAATCAAAATTTTACAACATATGTCCCTTGATCAGGATCTTGAAAGAACTGTTTTAACATATATGCATCGTGAGGTATAAAAATATGAATCCTTTGCATTAAATAAGACTCAATGCTTATTGATTACATTGCATAATTGTTTTATAGGTTTATGGAATAGAAACTCTGAAGACTACAACATTAAAATCATTAGGACTAACTAGTGGTAAAGCTGTATTACGCTTAATATATCGAGATCCTCAAAAAGTAAACTGCCAAACTTCTCTAGCAACACAGTCTAATAAAGTATCATCGAATTCTGCAATTCTCTCGAAAATGGAAATACATAGACCAAAAGAAGATTGTTCTAAGAGTGTAGAAGTTAAAACAAAAGAATTAATAACATTAGATAAAGAAAATAGAATTCTTGCAACAGAAGAAAATCAGCCAATGCCATCAACTAGTAAAGGCTACACTATGACTAAAGGTCAAATTTTATCCAAACCACCAACCAAGAATGAAGTAACAGATATAAATGAAATAGAGTTTGTAAGATTTACTTATATAAAACACATAAATTTTAAACATATATGTATGTTATTTATAGCTCTTTATTATAGTTAGGCGAGAGAAATGCTTTGGTATTCAATCATGCTATAATTCAATCGATACCTAAAGATGAATTACCAGACGATTTTTACGATTTAACAGTTGATGATGCAAAAGTACTATTAAGAGATGCTAAACGTCGTAGAGAACAACTAGAGGAAGCACCTCTGATAACAAATACTCAACGACAATTAGATCAAGACAAAAGAATCTTAAGTCAATTAAACAAGTATCGTTATACGATAATTCGCATACAATTTCCAGATCAGTTTATCCTTCAAGGCTTATTCCGGCCAGTGGAAACTGTACAAGCGATAAAAGATTTTGTAAAAAGCTACTTGGCTGATCCAAATGGTGACTTTATAATTTGTAAGTAATAGTAGTAATCAGTATTTGTTATCAAAAATTTAAATATCGTTAAAGTAATTCAATGTATGCTTTACTCCTTCATAGTTACTACTCCGCCAAAGCGTGTTTTAAATAGTAACGCACGTTTAATCAATGAAAACTTGGTACCTTCAGCTATTGTTTATTATTCTGGGCAGTCAACTCTTCGATCTGATATAAAAGAAAAATTGACAGACCCTAAAGAAGTTGAAATACAGGTTGCTAAAGTTAGGCAAGTAGTTAATGATGTTACGCATTTATAATAAAAATGTTATTGTATTTATCATAATTATTTATTTGCAGAATGTCGATGCGAAACGAAGAAAGTCAAGTAATTAACGAAGATGTAGACATTATTGATACTGAAAATCGTAAATCAGTTAAAGCGAGTAATGCGAATACTGGTAGTAAATCATTAAGTGAAAACAAAAACAAAATACCAGCATGGTTAAATTTACCATTCAAATAATGAATTAACTTTGTTATTGCTAATAAATTGAAATAATTACAAATATATCGTGAGATATTTTATTCATTTTTATGTACATACTTAAGTAAGTATATGTACTTATACATTATTGTAATATTCAGAATCCTGATTAAATATACTTATATGAACTAAACGTTAATGTAAAAAAGAATTGTGCGTACCAACAGAATATTAACTTTTTTATCATTGTTATTTCTAAAAGTAATGCAAAGTGGCATATAATAAATCTAATATCGTTTAGTTGCTTATAAAGGAATGTTTAAATTATTAATGTATCGCATATATACATATGTATATTTTTTTCTTTCCCTAAAATACTAAGTACTTGGAGTTTTACATACAATAATTCTTCAAGAGTTCCGGTCTATCGACAGTTGTTAATGCATTTTAATAAAAATTATTCTTTATAATCAATGTTATTAACTTTGTAAATCAGGTGGTACCGTGGTCGGCGATTGTAATTGTAAATGCATAAGCCGTCGAACGGACCCACCTATCATATTTCCAATTGGTCCTGAACCACCTGCTTCTTCTTTGATACTCTTTATTAAATTTTCTTCTATCATGTCAGATCTTTTATGCGTTTCAAAATTTTCATCTTTTACCATTTCAGATTGTAATTCCGAATTCAACAATCGCATATACTTATCCATTTCGCCACCTGTATATTCGTCATCTTCACCCAAGGATCCTTCTGAACTCCCTTCGAATTCTCCTTCGCTTCCTGGAACAGCTAAATCTAATATACCTCGTAATGTGCAATCAAATATATCCGCGTCGAATTCAACTTTTCCATTATCTTCTGGATCATGCATTATGTCAGCTTCCATAGAATGGTCTCTACAAAAGGAACATATAAATCACACTTTGTACAATATTTTAATATTATTAAAATTATAATATAAATAACATACTCTAAAAATTGTACACCATCAATATTGCTAGATTGGTTGAAGAACGATTGTACTTTCTCTTTGAGAGTCAATGGTTCTTGTCCCTGTTTTTTATTTTTAACATTTCCCCACTGTTCGTCTAAATACAATTGTAACTGTACCGGATCCACGTTTAACCAACTATCGCTATCTGCAGGGCTTAATGTACCTTCATCTTGAGCTACATAGAAAATATAATATGAAACAATAATCGAACATAAATTAAATTTTACGAATACTAGTTTTAACGAAATTACCATGCAGTTCAATGTCATTGGATTGTATGCTTTCCCATGCTTCTAAGACTTTCTCAGCATCACTTTTACTTTTAGTAACATTTATTGCGGAATTAAATGAATTTAAATGTTGTAAATAATAGTCTTTTGCTGCGTTTAGAAGTTTTTCATAATCTTGACTGCCTTTCAATAGATTTCTAAAGTAGCCACTAGTTTCTAAACGTGTTAAATACGCATTTAGAGCATATTCATTTGCTTTTAATTTCTCAGAATCATTACTTGTTTCTTTAACTCTTCTTCTACGTTCTTCATGAGCACGAGCAACTAACATTTCTAAACCACATGCTATTTTAACACCAAGCGTATGAGCATTATACTTTGAACAGGTTATCGGCGGTATGTTCCAGCCTGTTCTTGGGTCTCCTGTATATCGACAGTGAATTGCCATTGCATATAAGCATTTAGTCATTTTTAAATTAACCATGATACGCTGTTCAGGGGGAAAATACCTCATTGCACGACAGACCTATGGTACATAAAAAATATACACTATAGAAATAAATTAAATTTTAATTGTATATGGATATAAGTAATAACGAATCTTTACCTTTCTCTCAAGTGGATCCGAATGACAAATAGATCTAATGGCTGGTGCAATTAGTCCTGGTTGTTGATGGAGTATTGAAACTGCTTTCTCTGGTAAAAAGACTCTAGCTTTGTGATGCCTTTTTTTAATCTCATTTGGATAAATACTAATTCGTTTCTTTAAAACATCTTGAACTTTGTCAGATGCTTTGGACAAGTATGGACTTTCCTGTATATTATTTAATACATCGGATAAACTTTTATATTTTTCACGAACAATATGCAATTCTCCATTACGAATAAACGTATGATTTTCACATGTTTCAGGGTTAGCCCATGGAGGCAAAACATTTGCTGCTTCGATTAATAGAAATTCACCATCGGAATCTACTAGTTTTGTGATTAATCCGTCAAAAGTCTGTGTAAGTTTAAATATTAAAAATACTACAAACCATTCGTCACTTATATCTTCGTCAAAGTGCAGAGATACATAAATGTGAGGCAGTATATCAGATTCTATAACAAAGATACAAAAAGTAACATACTAATATAATTACTGTGTTCAAAAGTATTTAAAAAGTATTTAAAAGTAAAATAACATTTGTTACCTTCAATGCTTGTCGAATTCTCAATAAGTTTTTCTAGTATCAATGCTTGTTTTGTTCGAGGATGGAAAATTAAAGTATCGCTATGCCAAATGTAATCTTGAACGTATGGTGCAATTTCATTATTGAATTTTGTAATTTCTTGTAAAAGTATTTCCTCTGTTATCGTTTCTGATGATTTCGTGTAACAAATTTTTGGATAAAGATAACATTCAAGGAGATCATCCTCTTTCACAGTAGATATCTTTGTATTCGCCATTGTTTTACTATTTAACACTTTTAACGATTTAACTATCAAAGTAATTTTTAATGTTCGTCATTTTATCATTCGTTTCGAATTGGTGGATGCCAAACGTGTAGGTAAAACTATCTAACTAACGAAAAATCGAAAACAAATACAGAAACAAATGGACAGAAGCTCCACTGAATCAGTATCGCAACGATTCTTCAGATCCAGCTGACGTTGAAACCAGTGCGCATGCGCGAGTGAGAGCCAAATCTGCTATCACAGATATCAACGGTTTCATAGTGTCAACTTAACCTATATTAGTGACAAATAGTTAAAAACGATTAAAAATATTACGGATTCAGTGTCACCAAGTGTCTAAATTTATGAATAACTTTACTAATAAAATCCTTTTCGTGATTTAAAAGTAAATAGAATTATCATTAGATATACTTGTACACTTCAGCATACTCCACTTTATATGTCACAGAACACTTAACCATTTTACTGACACGTAATTGATACATTAAAAATTTGTTGAGCTAAACATCATAATATTTATTTCATTTTTACAAATAATAAGATAGAAATAACGAAGCACATCTTAAAAGAATAAAATTAGAGATAGATAAAATAATTATTTTATCAATTGTTGAAACTAAAACTAATTGTCTCTATGGCACACTTTCCTTCAAACACATTGAAAGTGATCTTCTTGGTCCAGTTTTAAGGTTTTCTACATCATATTGAAGTAAACGTTTCTGTTGAATTTGACTCTGTAGAATACTTTCAAGCGCTGTTATGTTAGCTTCGTGCTCAAGTTCTATTTGTAACATATTTTCCTATAATTACAAAAGACGTTTTTGAAGGTTAATCGTGTACTCTATTAAACTAAGTGAATGTAATTAAATCATACTTACTTCCGAAGTTGGAATTTGGTTCAAAATTTCTTTAAGCTTAAACTTTTCTTGTTCCAACAATGTCAGCAAATTAACTTTTTCAGTATTATTTCTAATCAAATCTGCTAAAACCCTTAGTTGTTCACTGGAGTCCTGTTTAATATCTATAAAAAATATAACCAAAAATCATGTAGTATTCTTTTATCAAAATAGTTGTGTAAAACTCTACATTTTTTAGTTTACTTTTAACTTCGTCAATAAAGTTTTTCATGATTGTGCGAACACCAGTCTTGGTATCATAAATCAATCTTTGTAAAACAGTTTCAAAAAGGCTGATTAAAGATACTTTTTGTCCAAACTTTTCTATCATTTTCTCCTTAATTTCTGTTTCTAACTTCTTATTTTGTGTTTCCATGTATTTCAAATCCAGTTTTATTCTTTTAAGATGTGCTTCACTTTTTCTGCAACAAATACATAGCTTTTCATTATGAATTACTTCATACTATTTCTAGCTTACTTGCGTTCTTCTTCCAAATTGCAAGTTTCCCTTTGCAATATCCCAACTCTGGCATATAAATTTGATAATTCCTTTTTATTAAAAATGACAGAATCTTCAATTGCTGTAATAGTTCCAGAGTCTGATATGTGTTGCAATTGATGAATCCTCAATACAACTGTCACGTCTATGTTGTTTAATTTTCTCTGATTTTCCAACTATTAAAAACAAGAGAATTAAATAAATTCTGTAACTTGTGCCAGTTACATGGGCATGTAATCTGTACAGATGCACTAGGCACTGTATTCCAAAGAATCTCATGAACAAATTATATAAAATATTGGGAAGTACCATGAAAGCTTCTAGATCTTCTAAATTGCTTTTTAAGTTATTTTCGATAACTCTTAAATTTTTTGAATCAGTGTCCAATTCTTTTTGTAATATTTCTATTTCTCTCTGTTCCTCCTTAATTTGAAGTTCGTACATATATCGTTTTTCTCTCATGGAGAATGCCATATCATACAACTGTTTATCACATCCCGGTGGACATATATTTTCATCGAATGGAATGTGTTTGGTATCAGAATCTACTGAAGTATCCGTATCTTCAGAACTAGTATCTGATGACTGTGTAACTGAATCCAAAGAACCTAAAATAATAATTAAATCAATACCATTTAGTAAAGCAGTTAAGATTAATATTATAAAAGAAATTTAATACCATTTGTTTGTCTTGCAGCTTTGTATTTTGTTTTAAATACTTTTTGAAGAAAATCGTGAAATTTGTTTCCAGTTATAGCTTTCGTAAATTCAGCAATAACATCTTTTATCTTTGTCTGCAATTTCCGAATTTTGTCTTCTCGTGTCGCAATTTTGACATTTGCAGTTTGCATCTGTTAAAATTACATTGCATATTAATTTAGAGTAGTTACTAATTGTTATTTTTATTCTTATAGTGATAATAACTTTTAACATCACTGTGACACGTTTATTTGTCGTTTGATTAACTTCTTCTTCGAGTTTATATTCCATTGATTCACTTTCCTTGAGAACAATAAATTCTTCGTAAAGTGTTAACAAATTTAGATTCATGTAAGTGCTTTGATATATAACATCGAGTCTATATTCTTCTAATTCATCTAATTTGCGCTCTAAATGTTCATAATTATCATTAATATAGCGTAGAATACAATCTTGCTCGTATATTTTACGCCACATTCGAGAGCGTTTCATTTCACGTTCCCATAGAGTTTGAGCAGTGCTTGAATTTCGAGTACGATTTAAAGTGGTTTGAGTAGGTGAATGATCTTTTATTTTCATTGAAGCAGAATGAATAGTAGAAACGCTTTCTATTTCTTCTCCGAGGTCTGTTCTATCATCACAGAATAATACTTCGTATTCTAAATCAAATGGATCTATTTGTTGAACCATGCTTATCGACAGTCTTTGTCGTTTTACATGTTGCACCTTTTCTGACATTGACATATGTCTCTCCAGCTGTAAGAAATAATATTGCCTTAAGGACATCTTTGTATTCTAAACATGAGAAATTACGATCTCAACAAACCTCTAGACTATGCTCAGGAAATTCAGTATCAAAATTAAGCTTTGGTAGCTGTGGTAAGGGTTTTATACTTTTTAATGGAATTTCTGCGTGAATTCTTTTAAGAATTTCCATTAATCTCATCACTTCTTTTTGCAATCTTTGCTTTTCTGATCTAACTGCATTTAATTTCGCATTGAAATCCTCCCGCAAAGAATGGAGCTATACAAAATAATTGTTTTTAAAAGAAACCAATACAATAAGAAATTGTATGTTAGTCGTACCTTGTTCCTACAATATAAAAGTTGTTTGTATTTTGTAGCAGTAGTTTCCTTTTTCATAGTTAAATTAAATCCTGTACTCATCTTCAAATTATATTCGCCGATAGTTCTTTTTGTTTCTTCAAGACAAGATGCATCCTCTATACGACTTTTCGATAAATTTGGTTTTCTATCGTATAGTTTTTGCCACTGAAAGTAATGTATATGATGTACGCTACTTACAGCACGATTCATTTTTATTATAATTTATTTACTTCTTTTTGTCGTTGAATTAATTTCCTTTTCTTTTCTTTGTATTTTAATAACATTTGATTAATTTGCAATCCTAATCCCGTTGTCAAATCACTGTAGTTTTCAGCTAAAAGACCTTCTAAGTATTGTATTTCCTCCTCTTGTGTTTCTCGTGTTTCGTCATCTATTTCTTCCCGTACTATCCTACAGGTGAACGATAATATACACACAAAGAAAGCAAAGAATAATAAAGTAATGTTTCATAATGAAAGTTGATTTAAAATAATACCAAAAACAATATAAAAGACGAACAAAATTTACAGAACTTTTTTTTTATATTACATTATTAAATCTTATTTTAATAGAATTCTACAATCATACAATTACCTGCTTATTCTTTGCTGTTCTTCAACATGTTTCGTCGCTATGTGTTTCGAAATGTTATCAAAATTCAGTTTCAATTCTCTTAAAGAATGCACTGCTCGATCTTCATTTCTATTTAGAAATTTTGCGCTTTAGTAAATATAGCTTACAAATAAAAAATACAAAAAAATAGTGCTTACAATATACTGTAAACCATAAAAGGTAAATGTGTAATAGGTGTAATGAAGTGATTCATAAGCTTCTGTAATTCTAGTTTACTTTTCTGCTCTTGAAATTCTAGTTTCTGCTGTGTTAAAGCTATCTGCCCATTTAAGTATTGCTCCAAGTCTTCTACAATTCTGGGATCCAATACAAATTGGGGTATTTGTTGCGATGGCAGAAGACTTTTATTTCTGATTTGACAAAGAAAAATAAACTGTTAAAACAGTACCTTACCTTTACATTTTTATTAACAATAAATTTCAAACCTAGCAATGATTTTGACGTATTCCTCTGTCAAGCCGCTTATGATTAGTAAAATTTCTTTCTTTTTTTTATTTGCAGCCGCGATCATTTTATTTCGTTCCATTTGAGTAATTACCTCTTCCAAATTAGGATAGTTAGCATCTTCAATGTCTTCGATATTATTAGGCAAAGGTAAAGGATGCTGCACTTTTGGTATTTCTACCCTTTCTTGAGGTAGATCATCGTTAATTGTAAAAGAAAATATATTTCCATCGTGACCACATGTCAGTAACATTTCCTTATTATAACTCAGCAACATTTTAGATATATGTCCATTGTAGTAATCATGTATAGGAAGAATCCAAGAATTTGAGAAATCTAGTGGATCGTCTTCCTTCATTTTACAAACATACAGTTCACCATATTGTGTTCCCAAAAATAAATATTTGTTGTTTTTGCTTGAAAAAATAATGAATATGTTACTTTTATATATTATTCCCTTCTTGAGATAATGTTACATTTGCATACTAAAAAAGACAATTGTGAATCTCTGTATCCTTTGCATGTTCGATTAGTCTACTTCTAACTGGTTTATTGTTTCTCATTTCTTTGGACACTGGACGTAGATATTCGTAAACATATCCCGCGTCAAAACCAGCCATCAATAGCCATATATTCCCACTGGTATTATACTCTGCCACTAAAATTTTGTTTGGAATTTCCGGAATATAAATTTCTGGAAGTATCATATCTTCATCGTCCGACTCTGGTAAAGAAACGTAACACAAAATAGTTCATGTGAAATTCGAATTGGGAATTGCAATCTTTAATTAAATTAAAACAGTATAATTACCAAGAAATGCTTCTTCATCAATTACAGCATGAGGATTTTCTGCCATCAGTTCTTCCATTTTTTTCTTCTTTTCTACAAGCCTTCTGTCTTTTTCTTTTGTATACTCGTTTATCAATATTTCTCTCTCTATCGAAGACTTGATTGATTCAAACTTAAATCCTACAGAATTACATTTGACAAGCTCATAAGAAGCAGTTGTGTATGATTGAGGCGCGATGGGTAATGATATTTCCATGCAATCTCCTTTCGCACATCCAATTAACAAAGTTGCCTCCTATTTAAATTAAATTAAATAGTTGTTGTGCTGTATCCCATTAAAATAAAGTAAGAATAATGGTATTTACTTCTTGTGGATGCCATGTCATACAAGTAACAGATGAAGGAACTTTCACATACCCAATAGGAACAATTTTAGGATAAGTATTGGTAGAATGAATGCTAAACGTAAAAATTGTAGCATCTTTGCTACCTGTTACTAGTAAACTAAAAACAAATTATCTTTGTTAGTGAAAATACAATTATTTGTCAATTTATGTGAAACATACCTACAAGAAACATTGAAAGTCATTACAGAAATTGACATTGAATGTGGTTTTAAAACTTGAATCAGTCTTGTGTAATCTCCTTTTATATTACTTTCCATACTTGCTGTTTTTATTGCTATTGTTATCATTCGAATAACACCACTTTTAAAGGCACACACCAAGGTCAAGCCTGTTTTGTCAATCTGATCATCTCAATGATATAATCTCTTTTTCAGGAATTTACAAATAAAGAAATTATATTCACCTTGCATGGAAGCCAAACTATTTGAGTTCCAATGTCATGAAATGTATGCACAACATTTAATTTCTTTTCAATATAATCGTAAATGTGCAATTGACCAGTCTCATCAAGTGTAGCTACAAAAGGTCCCCACTCTGCTGTATCCATATCCACTATGGGACCAGCATGACACGTAAAAATTTTTTTCTGCTCCTGATGTCTCGTACTGGTGGAAAGATCAAGTAACCATAATCCTCCATGTCCGTCCTACCAAATATTTCATTAAAAAATAATGTTATGCATACATTTTTATAATATATTTACCTGGGCATACCAAATCGTTTTTTCTGGATCATCTGGCTCTTGTTTCTGAATGCTCATGAGCATTGCACTTTTTTTAGGAGACTCCTGTCCCTCTGCAATATGAAACTCATAAATTGGTTGTATTTCAAGTAACTGTTCATCGCTAGGAAGGTCAGCATCTTCAATAGTTTCATAAAACCAAAATCGTATCCACCCATCTGATCCTATTATAGTAAACATTATCATTTATTCTGAATCCTTTTTTTAGTATTAACCACGTGGATTATATCATTACCAACTGATATGAGTTCTCCATTGATGAATTCAAATTGAGTTATCTGAGCAGCATGCGCCGGTTGTTTATTTTTTCTAGATGCTTCAAGTTTAATTATACTCTCATCCCATAGAAGTATGTTACCCCATTCACATCCTGAGACTACCTGAAGTATAAACGCATATGAAATTCAAACAAATTTTAACTTTCAACAAAATTACTCTTATTTCCTTACTGTTTCATTTGGCATTGGATGAATCGCTATAATATCAGAAATTTCTGTATTCCCGAATTTACCAATTACACCTTTGAGCTTTAACCCAGTGAAAGTTTTTGATACTTTCCAAAATTTAATATGTCCTGTTCCACAGGATGTTAATTGGCCAGGAATATATTTAGAGAAAGTTACATTATGTATATCTTGAACATGGGATTTACATTGCAAAATAATTTGCGATTTTCTCCAATTCCAAAGAGAAATATAGTAATCGGGTTCTCCACCTTGCGAAGTTAATAATAAACCATCGGGACTACAAATAAAAAAATTTAATTTTGTTTCATTAAACAGAATTTAGTATACAATATTTTAAACCATTTGTTGTATTATAAATCTATCTACCTATAGGTCAAATGGAAGTAACGTTTAGTTGTACCTCCCTTTAAAGTGGTTACAATTTTCATTGAAGGCCAATTATAAATGGTTATTAAAGGATTTGTTCCATTCTCTCCTACAGCAATGTGTGCGGCAGTAGGATTTTTCTGTAGAGAAATCATTAAGTTATTAAAGTGTTAGAAAAAACTTGTCAATAGCATAAATATATTAATTTATAAAAATATTCACAGATATGTGACCAATGCCACCACCCATAGAGCCTCTTCTGAACCAAACTTTATTTTCTGCTGCATTGAAAAAGTGAATTAAATTGCCAGAAGCAAAGATAATAGTATTTGTATCAGCTACGCAAAGATTGAAATACTTTCGACAATTATATGCATACGAATGACTGTTAAATATTAAGAATTTATATGACATAAGAAAATAAGGAAGTGGAAAGGGATTTATTTAATTCTTATAAAGGATACAAAAATTCTAAAATATTTTGAGGTACAGTTCCATTTTCTGGTTTTCTGGCTATGTATGAATATTCTTCTATGTATCCTACATTCAGTTCATGGTCATCGTTTATTTCAAAATTTTCATTTTCATTTTCATTTTCATTTATGCTGCCTTCCGTATCATCATTTTTTAATTCAACTTTACCACCATCCTCCGCCATTTTATTTTCGTGGATCAATTCACAAGTGTCAAATATCAACGCAACTATGAAATTATATAAAAACTAGAGTGTAAATGTGCTTATAGAAAAGTTTCAATTAATCTAGATGACTTTTTGAAAGTAGTCAGTGAAATACACTGATTTTTTTCACCAAGTTTCTAGATTTTCGAGTGAATTTATTTGTGCATTTTACTAACCCAGGAACGGTAATAAATGTCAATCCATTTCATGTTTTGTTCTTGTTGATCAGCGGCTGTCAAGTGGACTAATACTAATATCGGGTGTCAGTATAACTCAGTTTAATCATGGCAAGTAATCAATGAAATATTATTAAATACCTATAAATATATATTGTTCATTTTTTCATTGTCACAATAGTGAAGTACACAACTTCTGTATTTTTTAATTCATAAAGATAAATTTTCATAAAATTTCTAAAATGATGTTTGGTTTAATATACAGATTCGCTTCATTCTTATTCAAAACAGAGCTGGAAAAACTAGATTAGCAAAATGGTATATGAATTTTGATGATGACGAAAAGCAAAAGTTGATAGAAGAGGTCCATGCAGTGGTAACTGTGCGAGATGCTAAGCATACTAACTTTGTTGAGGTAAGTCTCAAATATAGTTCCGATAATAATATCAGAACATAATCTTTTATATTTTTTAGTTTCGCAACTTCAAAATTGTATATAGAAGATATGCTGGTTTATATTTTTGTATTTGCGTTGATGTCAATGACAATAACTTGTGTTACTTAGAAGCAATACATAATTTTGTTGAAGTATTAAACGAGTACTTCCATAATGTGTGCGAGTTGGACTTGGTGTTCAATTTTTACAAGGTGATTTATTTATAAATATCTATCAAAACAAACAAAGTTCATTTTTATAATATAGATCTTTTACAGGTGTATACAGTTGTAGATGAAATGTTTTTGGCAGGTGAAATAAGAGAGACGAGTCAGACAAAAGTACTGAAACAACTTCTAATGTTAAATTCATTAGAATAAAATTATTCAATGTTATCTTATTGTATTAATCAAATCATGAATACATAAAAATAAATTTCATTATGAACAAGGTTTGTTCCCTGATTGTATAACCATTATTTCATTTCTATCTTAGTAAAATGATGTAAAATTTAATAATATACAGTAAAGTATAGATATTTATTCGCAGAATACAATGAGAAATATTTATCATATAATATATTTCTACTGGATTAATAACATTGTATTATTTTATAGCTATTAATAATATAGGTAAATCGCATGTATATGATATAATCAGATGCAATGTCATATTATCTGCGTATCTGTGTTGCGCACAATTACGCATTGTGATTAATGAAAGATCTAATTATGTCAAATTTTCCCGCCAATGGATTGAATGAGGAATCAAGGAACTTTTATCATCTATGAGAAAGTCACTAGCTATAGTAACTTTTGTTTTAGAGGTTAAGTCCATCGACGTTATAACTATGGCGTAAATTCGAACTGTATAAACGCAGTATACGACGAATTAGAAACAGCAAGACTTGTAAACAAACGAGTGGAAAATAGTAAATGAAAAATAATTAGAAAAGTTAAAATATTTTAAACATTTATAGATTTGTTTTCACTTGCAAAGTGCATATCTAACATTTTTCAATACATAGTTGTTGAAATAACAATTTAGATGTTTTTGTTTCATATAGAACATAACCTATAAATGTTACTGGTACAACGTCTTTTGAAAAATATGGACAATAATCAAATTATACAACGATACAAATCTACACTTTCTGAAAGATCGTTTGATTGATTACTAATTAACCTACAAGTTATTTGTGTTAAAGACATTTATATGTATTGAGTGCCTTGTAAAAGAAAAAGAAACAAATAAAAATGGATCAAATGTTACCGAGTCCTGGGTTTAGCATACCCAGTATAGGAACTCCTTTGCATCAACCAGAAGAGGATCAACAAATTTTACCCAATGCATTGCAACAGCAGCAACAACAACAACAACAACAGCAACAATATCAATTACAGCAACTACACGCTATGAGTCCAAATATGCAAAGTGGAATGCTTATGATCGGAACAGCACAAAAGACTATGCATGCTTATGCAACAGCACCTACTTTTGCAACACCGCAAAGTCTCATGCAACCACAAACTCCTGTATGATTAAATAATACATTGAATTTGCCTTTGTTTATATTTGTTATTATCTTAGGCAAGAATAATTTTGTTTACAGCAAAATATGATGTCTCCATTAGTTCAAAATAATAATCACATAGCACCTTCATCGATAGGACCATCTACTCCTGGTCCTATGACACCTATGACACCAGCTTCTGCAGATCCAGGAATTTTACCACAGCTTCAGTAAGTAAGATTTAATTTAGAAAAAGAAAATAACAAACAAGTATCCATTAATGTTGCAGAAATATTGTCTCTACAGTCAATTTAAATTGCAAGTTAGATTTAAAAAAAATAGCTCTCCATGCAAGGAATGCAGAATACAATCCAAAACGGTTTGCAGCAGTAATTATGAGGATACGTGAGCCAAGAACTACTGCTCTAATATTTAGTAGTGGTAAAATGGTTTGTACTGGAGCAAAGAGCGAAGAGGACTCTCGATTGGCTGCACGAAAGTATGCCAGAATTATTCAAAAACTTGGCTTTCCTGTTAGTATACATTTTATCATTCTTTTGAATCAGTTATAATTTATTATTAATAATTTAATTTATTTTGAATAAAGGCAAAGTTCCTGGACTTCAAAATACAAAACATGGTAGGCAGCTGTGATGTAAAATTTCCAATTAGACTGGAGGGTTTGGTGCTTACTCATGGACAATTCTCTTCATATGAGCCAGAACTTTTTCCTGGATTAATATATCGTATGGTTAAACCTAGAATCGTCTTACTTATATTTGTTTCTGGAAAAGTAGTATTAACAGGTCAGTATTTATTATTCATACATTAATTAAAATTCATATATTTATAGTTCATTTAATAAGTTAATTACTATCAATTACTATTTAAATAGGAGCAAAAGTTCGACAGGAGATTTATGAAGCATTTGATAATATCTACCCAATTTTAAAGAGCTTTAAAAAACAGTGATTTCATTTTTCATTACTAGAACAATTTCATTGTCTAAAACTAAGATAATGACTTTGTTATTTAATAATCATTATCCGCTCAAATTGAGGGAATCTCCCTTAGAGCCAGAGAAGCATGATGGACGACATGGTCGAGAAATATAGAGGTATCTCGATGAACCAACAATACCTCTTGTATAAATACCACTTTCAGTTGAACAAGATGTTAATGATTTACGTTGTACACATTGTACGTACTTGTCTAAACTCGAATAGAGATCATTTAATGAAGCAGTACTGTATTAAATTGTTTAAAATACGTTTTTCAAAATTAGCTTATGTATGCTTTTTGTGGGACGAACTGGAAAGATATTTTTTAAACAGACCATATCAAAAGAGTGTATTTTATCTATTAAGATGTAGTCATCGATCTAGAGGATATCCTTAATTTATATATTTGTATAATTTATACAATACTAGCATAGAAGGAATTCTGTTTTATTTGTCGCGTTGGGACGCAATCTATGTCTTCTTTCCATTAAACAAGAACTGTTTATTCACATATATACAATCAACGAAAATAAAAGAAAAAGAATTAATTTAGTTTTAACGTGGTAGAATAACGTACTTATGTATGTCTATCCAAATTAGTGATTTTCAAAGTTTTTGAACGGCACTCTTAAAAAAAACTTTTTCTACTTAATTCATGCATTCGAAGTGATACATGGAAAATATACTTCAACATTTGTTGAACTTTAATGATCATTGAATAAAAAAAAAATATTTAAGTTTTTCAAATCAAAGAATAAAATTTTGTTTTACATGTCATGTAAGGGTGTCGCATTCATAATTTTGGAAAACACTGATCTACTTCCTTGAAAAGTCAAATTTTGTAAAGGCTAGATGGCATCTTAAAAGTTGTAAATAAAGTAGCCATTATAAGGAGGAGGATTATATAAAATTTTACAAATTTTATATCGTAAAAATATATATTTAATTGCATTAAGAAACTGTTTGTTGATTCAAATGATTACTGTTTTAATTCAGTTATGTAATTTCATAATAGTTTTAACTAAACATTGCTGAAGCACAGGACAAATTTCTTTATTAGTTGTTGTTAAAAGTTCTGTTGCATGTATAACAGAGTTTGTATCGATACTCCCAATTAAAAATACTTCTGAAATTTGACCATGTTGTGGAAGGCTAGCAAGTGTAATTATTCCATGGTTAAAATCATCTTGTTGCTCTGGTAGCGTGTTGCATATTTCCTCTTCTAAATCTGTTGGATCCACTAGAAACTGTTTATCATAAAGACCCTACAATTATATCAAATTTTGATTAAAGCAAAATATTTTCAACCTTAGTTTATTAATGATGTACATACTATGGTAGAAGCTGTAACTAAACCAAACATTGGAACACCTGCATTAGCTAAGGCAACACTAGCAGCCATGATTGCAGCAGCTAGAGAAGATCCAGCATTGTCTAAGACCATTGCATATACATCTACTTGAAAATTTGGAAATTCATGCTGGAAAAAAATATAAGCAGCACTATTTTTAATAGTTCTCATATTTTAGTTGGTATATTAGTTACTTTGCGTATATACAAATACATATACTCATAGACTTATATATTTACCAAACAAACTGCTGGTTCTAATGCTCTTTGCAACATTAAACTATATTGTTTTTCTTCTGCATTTTGTTGATGAATTTTTCGCTTCCAACAGGAAAAAGAAGCGAATTTAAACTCGCAATAAATTTCACCTTGCATACAATAACCATTTTTGTTTGGTACTTCTCTAGGATCGAACACTGAACAAACTACTTTCGTAGTTCCCATTTCTATATATGCAGAGCCTTTGGCTTGACTAACTACACCCGTCTTTAAAACTGCAAGTGTAAAATACAAATAGTTGTTTTTGCTATAGAAATGTTGCTATAGAAAGCTTGTAACATCTAAAATCTTACATATTTTTCTCATTTCATTCATGGCACGTTTATCCTTTCTTTTAGTGAAATCGTGTTTTATTTTAACATCTTTGTTGTCGGTATCAGAGTAAATCTGATAAGGGACAGATACATCCGGACCGTTGATACGTTTATGATCGACCGGCATTTCAACTAAAGTATAATTATTATATAAACAAAGGCATTTATATTATTATAAACATTTATAGAAATAAATCAACATAAGAGCCAGAAGTTGCAAGCTCAGGTAGCAGGGGTTGAGTGAGGTTAAGATCACTGAACTAATGACCCTTTTGGCCCTAACCACTGATTTTTATATTATATTTATTATATCTACATATACGATTATATCATAGAATATATTTATACAGTAAAGAAGTGAAATGCGATATTATTGAAACGTCCGGTTGGGGCGTTTTCATGTAGCAGCCGTTTTGTCTCATAGGTTTATTTGGTATAATTGGTGACTTTAAAAAAATAAAGACATCAGGTATCATTATTCATCAATCGAACAATAATCAACGCATGATCTCTTTTCGATTGGTCTTGTTTCATAGTTCGTCTTTTGTATATTTAAGAAAATGAACGCTTGCGAGAATCAAGGACCTCTATCGGATGTGGAGCAATCTATCAGCAAATCTACATCTCGCTATAAAAAATAATTAATTTTCGTCATTTTATTTAATTTTTATTACTGCACTTTATAATGCTGATATTTTAATCCAGTACGAATCGAGAATGTTGAGAATGATAAGGATATGATAAGGGTGCTCGCGAGCTCCAGCCCCAGCTCCTTATTCATGGTGACATAAAAAAAGCATTGCTTGCAACGTCTATTCTATATATAGTCCGTGGTAGTACATAAAATTTACAATAACAGTGTCATCTCTGAATTTAACAAAGTAGTTAACAATAAGAAGTGATATCGATGAACGATGTCGCTAAATCTCTCCGGAACTAACAATCTTTAATAATTCCATCTCGAAAAATATTTCCCCTAGCAAATAAAATATCTCATTACTTCCTATATTTTAAACAATCACCTTGTTTCCCAGCATATTTTTCATAAGATAGAGCTAAAGAGAGAGTTCGAAATGAAACCCATGTTTTTGGAAACGTCATTGAGATGATTGTTTATCCACCATTTTGTTTTGCTGTCGTCCTCACAGTTTTTCTTGGCACCGTGGCCTATTTTACAATGAAGTAAATTGATTCTAATTTGGAAAAATCATCGAATCCGACAATATTCTGTGCCTGGAGAAGAAATTGTTCGCGACGGATTTGAGTCAGTTTCACTTTTTTAACAAATGTTCTCATTATGAAGATTCGTGAAATCTCTCCTAGAGTTCCGACCCAACTTTCCTGACTTTTTTGATCAAATGGCGATTACTAGATAAAACGAACCGTTTTTACGTCATTTATCACGTAAGTTTGCTATTTCAGTCACGATCATGACATTCAACTTATTTTAGAGTGATATTCTCAACAAAAACAATCGTAACTATTCGAAAGTAGCGTTTTATTTTAGTCGTGATGACCCTTCAAACACGCAATATTATTCATTTGTCATGTTATTACGAATTATGCAGTGATTGTTGTTATGATTAAATGTTAAGCATACTGTTGTACAAACTATTCATATTCTTATTATAGAATGTCGGGTCAGAGTGGAGGGCATCGTCTAAGGTTGTCCAAACTCAACGACCAGCTGACGTGTAAATTGTGTGGTGGATATTTTATTGATGCCACTACTATTATTGAGTGTTTACATTCGTGTACGTGTATTTTTTCATTGCTTCTTTAATCCTTTTGTTTGTGGTGAATAATTTAATTTGAACACAATTAATGTTGTGCTACAGTTTGCAGGAGCTGTATCGTGAAATATCTGGAGAACAATAAGTATTGTCCAATATGCGAGGTACAAGTGCATAAAAGTAAACCGTTACTCAACATTCGTCCAGACTACACTTTGCAGGACATTGTGTATAAGCTGGTACCTGGATGTTACCAAAGTAAGTCCTATAATTATCAAGAAAATCATATAATATAAATAATTAATTAATTATTTTATACTTTAGATGAGATGCGATGTAGGAGAGAATTTTATTCCAAACATCCGGAAGCATATACTCAAACAACATCTCCAGAAGCAAGAGGAGAACCGATTGAATCGCATATATATTCACCGGATGAATCTCTCAGTTTATCATTGGAATATTTTAGACCATCCAGAGATGTCAAGGAAATTGCTGTGAAACCTTTTTTAAAGAGGTATCTTCGTTGCCCTGCAGCAGTGACAATTTTTCATCTACAAAAGCTTATACGAGCTAAGTATGGATTAACCGATGCACACAGGGTAGATGTAATGTATAAAGAAGAACCATTGTGCAGTAATTATACATTAATGGATGTGATGTACATTTATCATTGGAGGCGGGTAAATATTAGGAATCCGTATACAGATTTAATTCAAAAATTAAAAATGTTAATTTTACAAGTGTTTTACCTTATTTGTTTCAGAAAGTGCCATTGCATTTAAGTTACAGGATATTTGAATCTTCCGCTAAAAGAATAAAGCTTTCGGAAGACAATGTCAATTATAAAACATCCTTATTTTATGCTGGAATCGACCCTATTGAATCAAAAGAAGAAGAACCGATAAAGAGGGAATGGAAGGAGGTGCAATTGAAAATTTCTGAAACTGGTATAATGAGTATTACGGATATAACGGATCAAGAATTTAAGAAAAATGCCAGAGTTCAAGACTCTGTGACAAGTGTTGAAACAATAAATTCATCGATAGTTAAGGGAAGTACTAGTGAAAATAATGCATCTGAGATTATTACAAAAAATGATCACTCTTTAAATAGACAAATCGTTGATGATTGTAATATTTCTTCTAAATTAAGCGAATTTGACGATAAGAAAAATTCCAATTCAATGGAAACTAAAAAAACTCCCGCGAAGGAAGCTGAAAATATTGTGATGTGTAAAAGCGAAGAAGAAACAAAAGATAAATTAGATAATAATAATGTTGCAGATAAAGTAACTTTACATACTAATGTGCAATTTCGGGAAACGACACAAAGTGTAGTCGAGCCTGAAGTCAGAGGCAATGTCATCGATGACAAAGATAAAAAAGAGTCGTTAAAAAATAATAATAGCATTATTATTAAAGAAAAGAATGGAGAATCTCTTAAACAGTACCGAAAAAATGAAGTGAAACTTGTAAATATGGGATCAAAGATTAATGCTTTAAGCGTAAAGTTACAATTTCAACCAAAAATTGGACAAACCAACGCTAGTAATGCTTCATCTAAGAAAATTATGAAGGAGAAAAAGATTATGCCACAACCATCTAAAAAAATAGATACAAAAACAATTCAAACTTCGAAATCTATGGACCCAAAAAGCTCTTTTGATACTTCAAAAACACAGGCGATGTCGAATAATTGCGGAATTACTGGAAGTAAATCATCGGTTCCCTCCTCTACGAAAACAATGTCGCAAAAGCCAACACCTGAGTCTGGGGAAACTCCAGAACCCGTTGCCTCAACTCGCGTAACCACTGCTATTAGTAGCAAGCCAAAAGAAACAAAATTAAATGTAAAAAATGTGCAATCAATTGGTCAGCATCAATCGTCCCTTCAAGAACAAAGTACATCAGAAAAGGAAACACATTCATCGGATCAAACATCTGTAGAAATAACGCAAGGTATGGAGCAAACAAATACAACTCTTCAAAAATCACCATATACACAAATCGAATCGTTGACAAATAAAAATACTTCATCTCTCGATTTTACCGCAACTGTTGGTAACGGAGTTAACTCTATTTCCACGTCAACAAGTCAGACTACATCTACGTTTCCATATACGGTTCAGGATTTAGTGAGTAGCACAATGTTAAAGAATTCTCTCAAAAGTCTGGCGACATCAACAGTTCAGAAATTATCCGCCACTACAGTTTCGGAAAACACAGTAACCATGCCCACAGTAACAGAAAATCCTACAGCACTTATTATGCCTTCCATGAGCATTTCTTCTTCTTTGAAGAACAGTTATGTAAATTCAGGACTGAACACTTCTAGAGAGTCGCAGCTAAAACCAAACTTGGAGGTAACCGCTGCATATTCCGTGCCTCCCTGTCCGGATGCTATTCCGATTTCTTTAATGAAACCAACGATTCGCAAGAACGAATTAATCACAAAAGGTTCAAATTTAAATGACATTTGTGCTAAAATCGGGGCTTCTGGCTCGAAAATTAACGATATTTGTGCTAAAATCGGAGAAAATTCTAAAGAAAAAAATAAAACGGAAGCAAGAAGTAAATGCGACATTCCAGACTTGTTGAAAATTGGAAGAAAATGTAACTCGTCATCGATTGCTATCGATTCTGTTAATAAACAACAGCATCCGAATATTTCAAATGTTTCCGTTTATGCTTCTAGTAGCAGTGTAATTGCAACAGAAAGTAAAAATGTTTACTCGAACGTAAAGGATAGTCTTCGAGCCACATCGCTGATATCTACGTCTCCAACAGCAACATCGCATTCAATACAAAAGGTTCCTTCTTCTGTCTCTAAAAAACAGAGCCAAGCAGTAGGCTACAAGACTCTTCGCGATCCTCCAAGATGTTGGAATCCTACACTTTCCAAGAACAATTACGTAGCGGTAAAAAATCAGACCAAAGAGACGCAAAGCCACTTACATCAAATAGCGCTCTCTGAAAGAAGATCGATTCAGTCTAAGCCAGCTAAGATATTTAAGATGAGAAATATGCCGAGATATTTAGGTAATCCTGCATCTGGAGTGAAACCGCTATATGGAATCGGTAACGAAAGCAAAGAAAAAGAGCAATCAACAATGACATCAACAACGACCACAAACACTTCTACTAATTCGAAGAACGGGAATTTAAGCATGATGAAGATAGATCCTAAAACTTTATCTCCTATTGTGTCTACAATTAATTCACCCATTGTATCGCCACCTCCATATTCTCCTAGTGCGAGAAACTATTCAAATCCCTCATTCTCGAGAGATATTTGTAGAAGTACTGGTTCACCGATATCTCCTAAAAATTCTCCAGTAAATATGCTTTCAACAAGTCCCTTTATACCTTCTCCGACACCCAACATGAATCCCAGATTAATTTATCCTCATTTTCCACCTCCATTTCCAGATACTCCCAGATTTCCAAATCCGTTGATTCGTCCACCGATAGGAATTCCATCTCCCAGTGCCTTTCACAGTAGCTTGCCTCCTTCGATCAATAAATTATACCAGCGGTCAAGTTATATTCCACAAACTACCGGCTTCAATCCAGTTTCCCAACCTCCGACAGTTCAGAGAATACCACCGAGCACTTACTCTACGCCTAAGTCACCTAAAACTACTTCCCTAACAGCAATCTCCCCTACATCTTATGGCTTAACCAAATCCGAGACACAAATTGTTGGAACATCTCTTGAAACCAGTAACATGCATCTTCTAGAGAATGCTCCGCAAGAAGATCTCAGTGTATTTAATTTGTCTAAGACTGGAAATTTTGGTAATACGGAGACTGTTAAACCGCCGACAGAAGTAACTCGAAATTCCAAGTCATCTGGATTTCCTTCCATATCAAACACTGGACAGGGTAACAACACGATAATGACCACGTCTAAAAGCAAGTCAGAAACTTCTCAGTTTGGAGCTGGGTACGATCAGAGCAAAGAACAATCGGAGAAAACGCCTGCAAAATGCGATGAAGTGAATTCTTATAGTCCAAAGGGGCAGAATTCAGAAAAGAACCGATCCGATGAAATCAGTGACAGTGTAAATAAAAGAAAAGAGAAATCCGTCTCTCAGACCAACGGGGGTCTCACCGATGAAAATAACGAAGAAACGCCAGTAGAAAAACAAACGGAACAGCATAAGGAGCAGAATCAAATAAAAATGCCGCAACAAGTACCAGAGAAAGTTGAAAAACAGCAAGAAGAAACCAATCATAACGAGAGCGGAAAGAGCGAAGAACACGGGAAAAGATCTGAAGCTCAAATTAGCAAAACGGAGGCGTAATTTCAGTGTTCAGAAATCATTTGACATGTACATTTTTGTAAAATTCTAAAGCTTTTGTTATTATATCCTATCGTAGATAACATTTTACTGAGCTCTACTTTGTATTTCACACTTTTGACAAGTTTTACGTAATTTACTTGACAAAAGACGAGAGCATATTGTTATTTTAATTGTTACGATTTTCGAATCCCAAAACATTAAACATGTTGAAACGACTTTGTAATTAATGTAACGTTTTGCGATTGGAAATCGTAGCGATTAAAACTGCAATTCATACCCGAGTTTAACGCAAAAGACGGAAGAAACGCGTAAATACATTGGAAGTAATCTGTGACGTAAGAGAACACTAAAAATTCTTTAGGAAAGATCCGTTATTTTGAGTTCGTATAAAGAATTGATGTAGCATTATTTGTTTAATGTCACTTCACTATAATAATTTCACGAGTCTATTAATTTGTAATATTTATAACGAATAATTTTGAAGAAATTCTATTTCAGTTAACCGGATATCAGACCAAAGCCTCGAGAGTTAAATAATCTTATCTTCCAAGTAGATTTAGTTACAAGGGTTTATCTTTATTTGTTGTCGATTGTTTTTGTTTTCGTGGCCTCTTTTTTTATAAAGGAAGCAATTATAGTCCAACAGTAAAATGTCCGAGGCCTTATCACAATAATCGTATATATGAAATAACGTTAAAAGAATCGATCAAAAGAGATCGTTGTTAAAAAATTTACAAAACGAGAAAAAGTATTACACACAGTGATTTCTCTCTTTCCAGCTTAATTAGTTAACATTATCGATGTATTATATCGCACCGAATTATTGAAAGAGCACGCAAGAATAAAAAAAAAAACTCACCTCTGGTTTTGCTAAGTGCCGGAAAGAAAGAAATAGTTAATGTATAGAGAAGTTTTAATATTCGACGATCATTTTTTTCTTTTTTTTTTTTTTAGATACATTTACTTGTACATAATGTATAATGATTGAAAGAAATCTATATCATGTAGTAGATATAAAAAAATGATCGATTATTAATATAATTTAACATGCATATTTTTAGGAAGTAAGAACGGTAATGATAGTATTTTTTGTCTAATACGAGAAAGCAATTTTTAGAGAGATCTGAATGTAGAGCAAAAAACGATGTATTTTTAATAAGTTATTAGTTGTGTGCGCGCGCGAGGCTCTTTTGTATACAAGGTGTACCTGAGTGAGTGAGTGAACGACGAGTGATAAGTGCGTATGTATTATTTCTGTACGGAGAAAATTTCAATATTATTTCAACTGGAACAGTTTGAATGAAGTTTTCGAGATTTTGTTTTATTTATCAAAACGTTGATCGTCGTTTGTTTTCGAATTTATGCAAGTGTTGTGCGTATGTTTGTGTACGCGCGCACATAAACTCCCACATGCGCGCGTGCCGCGTTATCAATACAGTAATACTACGTGAAGTAGGGAATGTTTTAATTATGAAAATATAGTTGATTATACTTTACACAGTCTGTTATTTGTATAAGATTTTACCATTACACACACACACACACACACACACACATATACATACATATACATATATATATGTATGTATGTATACAAAAAACTGAATTTATTACTAAATGATTACCATAATTTTGGTGTAAATGTTAACATACATGTATAAGGTCATAAGTTGTTAACAATGATTTACTTAGACTACATACAATACTTCTATAAAAATACTTGCAATGAAATATTAAAACATCATTCATGTGTAGTACTATATTAAATACATCGATAACTTGAAGGTATAGCTAAACATTAGTTAGTTTCTCTGAGTATCTGATGGCATCTTTAAGCTTAAATATTAATTCCTGCAGCTGCTGTATTGTACATGAGAATGTTACATGATTTATTGTTTCATGTTTTTTAGTGATAAGTCGCACGTGATAAAGAGGAATACCCAGCAAATTGCATGTGTCCAACTAAAAATCATTTTCATATGAATAAAGCGTCAGTGGATAAAACATTCGGTGTTGTATTCACCGATCGATTACCTTGACGCGATAATCTAAATGCCAATCTACATCGACGATATGCGGTGGGTTATTGCCGATCAACTCCAACCGAGACTGTATTGTTTTCTTGTTATTAATGTATGCTTCACATAATTTCTTTTTCCTTTCTTCGTCGACATGTGCTTGGTATAGGAAATTTCTTAACTTTTCTTCATCGAAATCATGACGGGCTGCTTCTACGAACAAGCATAGCATGTCAGCAAAAATCTTCTTCGCTAACACTGGCTTTGAATCCGTTGCTTTGGTGATGCCTACAATTTTACCGGTATAAATAATCTTGCAATGTTCAAAGTACTTTATGTTAAACAACTATAGCCAGAGAATACTCACATTTTGCTTGAGCAGGATTTTCACATATCTGAGAGACAGCTGTGTCTAAAATTTGTAGAAAATTATCTTCAGGTATATGACTAGTGTGTAAAACATTAGTTAGACCTTCAATGGTATCTTTTGACAACTCCATTATTATATTCCTCGACACTTTGAAGATAACATTAAAATTTTGCTAAAAGAAAGTTTGTTTTAAGCAATGCTGTAACATATATTAAACAAAATTGTCTTATCAGTTCACAAAAATTACATAAATTCTGTAATATTGAACACAAGAAAACAGAGGTTATCTTTGGAGAGCAGCAATGTACATTTTTTAATTTCCTTAATTTTTTAAAAGATGTTTGTTTTTGTAATGCATTCGGTATTTAACAAACTTTGGTGACAGCTGAAATGGTACAAAAACAGTCTGTCACGTCAATTTAGGTTACTGACTGCATCAGATATGAAGAAAGTGACATGTGGCGCTGTCACAAACACACGTACACATTCATGTTAAAAAATATAATACATTCGGATGTGTAATATTTTTTCTTTTATAAATATAATAGTTTATACCTTCGCACCTGTGTTTCTTTCGTCTCTTTAATATATTATGTAATTTAAATAAATGATTAATATTACAATAATATTTGTTATTCAGATATTCAATCGTTTCGACTTTCGATCATTTAGAAATCTTGTTTTAGGTATTACGTTTACACCGAAATAAAAAAAAGTTGATAATTACTTATCTTTTTATTTTCAATAAAATTGTAACTAATTCATTCAAAATCTCAAATATTTTGTTACAGAGAAATTAACCGGTAAATAAAATTATAAAAACTTTTATTTTGAATAAATAATTAATATAACAATAATATTTGTTATTTAGATATTTAATCTTTTCATTTTCGAGCAAATTGTAACTAATGCATTCAAAATGTCAAATATATTTTTACAGAGAAATTAACTGGTAAATGAAATTATAAACATTTTTATTTTGTATAAATAGTTAATATAACAATAATATTTTTTATTTAGATATTCAATCTTTTCATTTTCGAGCAAATTGTAACTAATGCATTCAAAATGTCAAATATTTTGTTACAGAGAAATTAACCGGTAAGTAAAATTATAAACATTTTTATTTTGAAAATAGCCAAAGTCCATTTATAGCTATCGAACATCGTTATTTTTTAAACAATGTGTATTATATCACTAATATTAGTATATTACAGACCCTTAGAATAAAAAAAAAAAAAGAAACACGAAAATATTATACCACCGTGACATCAGTTACCAATATTTTTGTGTCTCTTTTTTCTTTTTATTGTAAGGCTGTGTAATATACTAATCTTAGTGATATAATATACATTGTTTAAAAAATAACGATGTTCGATAGCTATAAATGGACTTTAGCTATTATCAAAATAAAAATGTTTATAATTTTACTTACCGGTTAATTTCTCTGTAACAAAATATTTGACATTTTGAATGCATTAGTTACAATTTTCTTGATAATGAATAGATTGAATATCTAAATAACAAATATTATTGTTATATTAATTATTTATTCGAAATAAAAGTTTTTATAATTTTGTTTACCGGTTAATTTCTCTGTAACAAAATATTTGAGATTTTTCAATGTATCAGTTACAATTTTCTTGAAAATAAGAAGATAATTATAATTATCAACTTTTTTTTATTTCGGTGTAAACGTAATACCTAAAACAAGATTTCTAAAGTTTAATAAATAACGTGTTCGATAGCTGTAAACGGACCTTCTCATTTTATATAAATATTTCTAAATTTATTAAAACGCAAATATGTAATTTGTGGTCGCTAATAACCGTGATCATTAAAAAAAGAAGAGAAGAAAGAAAAGGAGTATGTGAATTGTTGTCGCGGTTGTGTGAAACGCGAGAAACAACGACCCTTTAAAATAAAACAAAAACGGGGAGAAAAGAGGCACTCCTGTGGAGGAGCAAAATGCAGGTCGATATAATCCCTCCATTGATTAAAGTCGATGTTTTGTCAGAATTCTCTACCCCAAAGGACAACGCTCGTAGTGGGGTGGCCGACGAATAAGGGTAAGGGAGAGAATTCTGGCCGTCGACCCCGCTTTAGTTGCCTTATGAACCGCGCGTGAGTCGTTCGCGTTTCACCCCAACATCTCGACCATAATTCACGATATTTTTCTTCTCGTTAAACGCGTAATTCAACAGTCTATTCTATCGTTAAATCCGTCGTGTACCATCGTGTGATTTTTTAAAAACGAAAGGTGCAACAAATTAGTTGCCTTATGAACCGCGTGTGAGTCGTTCGCGTTTCACCCCAACATCCCGACCATAATTCACGATATTTTTCTTCTCGTTAAACGCGTGATTCAACAGTCTATTTTATTATTAAATCCGTCGTGTACCATCGCGTACCATCGTGTGATTTTTTAAGAATGAAAGGTGCAACAAATTCGTCGGAGAGATTTCGGTAGACCGGCAGTTGTTGAATGCGTTTGATGGTCTTCAATCGATTTTTCCGCTCGCAAATTTTCCATCGAAATTATAATATTCGCCATGTCGTGGCAGTGTTGGATTTCCTATTTTACGAAATGTAATGTTTTTCAGATATCGTCTTTTTATTTCAGACTCGTATCTCGGCTGTATGTATTTAAATAACACGTGACGTATATTTTTTAATATTGTACTTCGTTGTACTTACTTTATTTAATTTTTTATAGTGATCATTGGTTCGTCAACAATTTTGTCGGTTTGATAGTATTTCTTCGTCAAAGATTAAATTTTTAAACGACGAGCATACGTTTTTACAGTTCATCTTACGTTATTTCGCTCAACGTTTTAGTTTCATTCGTATAAATGCAATTCTCGCCGGTTAATTTTTAGCTCGGAAAATGAATTAGAAAGAAGTTGTATAGCTGCAGTGTCCATTCCATGAATCGTGAGATCGAATTACACCGGAGGACGTGAGACACTTTTGAATCGTGAAAATGAAAAAGTATCGGAGGAACAAGGAGTGAAAGTTTACGCGTGTTAAACATCCTTGGATATCGATTCGCGTAAATTGCTGTGGCGCGTTCACGAACAGTGCATTTATGTTTTCTCCCTCTGCGAGCCGGGAAAAATTCTCGAAGAAAATGCTTGCGTCGAAATAAACGAGAAAATCGTACGTCTATAAATTTACGGTAAAAATCGCGCGTTAAAAGCTGGAATAGCAGATACTAAAAATAATATCGAGAAATAGATTTCCGTCGGTTTCTCGATTTATTCAAATATTGTATGTATAATTTGCACAGGAATGAAACACGGATGACCAGCTGGATATGAATTTGAAATCTAAATGGCTCTTCCTTGGAACACTAATTACTATCCTCCTTGAATACGGTAAACCTTTATAAATTATTTATAGAGATTGTCCAGTTTGAAATTGTTAACGGGTTGGAAAGAAATAAACAGTCAACGCCATCTAGTTTATAATTTTGTGATATAACGCGCGTTGGATAATTACAAGGGATTAATTAATAAAATTTGGAGTTTAGGTTTCGCCAAATCGATTATGAAAGAGGAAGACGAGCTTGGTGTGTTGAACATCGATTCACCCTCTTCTCACGTCGCTCTTTCCGGAGATCTTACGGTGCTTCTCGTGAAATCGGATTCAACTTTAAAGGAAGCAAATCGTACAGATAAATTACTAAAGGAGAATGGTAATGATCCTGAGCGGATAGAAAATGTCTCTAACGAGTTGCCTCTATTGCGGTGAGCCAGTTATTATGAATTAGGTTGTTCGGAAAGTAATTTCGTATTTTGTCCACCGGATTACTCTTACTTTTAATCATCGACTTTTGCTCTAAACTGCGTCAATAATAATATAATATAATATGTAACATAATATTCATAACATTATATGACATAAAATATTCAATTCAAT